AAGCAGTTTTCAACATCACGGAAAGACAAAAAATAATATTATAACACTATATATAACAATACTGACAATAGACAAAAGCAGGCAATAGACAATACATAGGCCTTAATGGAGACAGACTCAATACGCTTGCAGTATTCTGAATAAGTGTGGGTGTTCGACCATAACCTACAACAATGGAGGCGCCGCCATGCGGAGGTTGCTCCAATCACACCTCTTGGTTACATTCACACGTAGACATGAACTTCCAAGGTCTGTTGACATGTGATACAGACCGTGATTACCGGTCCTGGCTAGCCCAGAATACAACAGCTTTTGTGTGACAGGGGCCTTGACTGTGTAACATGATACCACTGTCTCCTCAACACTGCGTAGATTCGAGGCACAGCTGGGATTGATCGCCACACAAATTGATAATAACTTTCAAAAAATTACAAAGCTATTGTCATAAACTTGATCAACAGATCCTGTTCATGACTGTTTTAAGGTTAACAGGTATATGTGAAACGGCCAATGAGATAGAATCGATATCGAACAAAAGGCGGTAAAGAATTCTGAAATCATATTGCACAACAATACTTAGATTGTTGGTATTGTCGTCATGATGCCAGTATATTTCCACAATGTCTGGCAGTCATGTTTGGCACGAGAGTATGTTGCACAAACATGTCAGAACATGTATATCTGTGATTGTGTGACTTAACAAATATCGAACTTGACAATAGTTGACATAATGAAGGATGATCCATTTGATATTGTGGTTGTGGTTACGAGGCTGCAGGATTAAAAACAACATATTTATGGTCACTGCCTTAAAATATAATTTAAAAATTTGAAAGAAAAATCTGAACAACATTATCATTTCTGCAATGCAGTGTTTAAGGGTATACAGCATTTTTTCTTCATCAAATTGATTATGTACATATTGTAGCCTGCTTCTACATGCAGCATTAGGTAACAAAGAATCCATCAACAATTTACATAGCCAGTTACACCATTACAGTGTATACATTCTGTAGAGGCTACTTTCTAGTGGAAGGTATAAGGGGGCAGAATTCTTTATTTCTTGGTTTTTTTTAATTGTTTGTATCGTGGTCGACAGCTTGTTTAGAAGGAAAAACAGATTGATCTGTTTTGCTCTAGAAAATGTTGTCTGAATAAGTTGTCATGTGTACAGTATTGGTTAAGCCTGTTTTATCTGTTATTGAACACAAATGATAAATGATATAATGTATTGTATTTTACTATTTTAATGATCAGCAGAATTAGATACATTAAGCTCAACTCAAAGCTCAGTTAGCACAACTTTTGTAAGTGCTTAGAAAAACATTCAATTTTCACTGCCTACACTTGTTTGCAATCATATCCCCTATTCATTTTTCTAAAAGAAAAGTCAGATGAAGCTAGATTTAAACTGTACATTATTTTTAAAGGAATATGTTAAGATTTGATGCTAAACAGATACTGACAGTGTTTGATCTACAGACTGAGACTGATCTTTCTAATGCTGGTTTTATTGTGCTTGGCTAGAGATACCATTCCACACTGTTACATGGATACCCCATCATGTGTACAGATTCAGAGCTCATTTGACTGTGTTTAATCCCCCTTTACATGTGCATCGTATACCAAGTGAGTGAGTGAATATAGTTTTACGGTGCTTTTAGCAATATTCCAGCAATATCACGGCAGGGGGTATCAGAAATGGGCTTCACACTTTGTACCCATATGGGGAATAGAACCCAGGTCTTTAGTGTGACATGCGAATGCTTTAACCACTAGATTACCCCACCACCCCGTATACCAAGTGAGAGGCAGGTCAACAAGTAGTATTTTTAAACATCTTCTGGTTTGAAGTGGGAAGGGACTGAACCATTACATGTTTTCTCTCCGTTTAGATGCTTTCTCAATCAGACTACACACTGAATATATGTTTGAAGTTAACCAAACATTTCGATTTGTTACAAATGCTAATTAATATTTTATTTTGATTCCACTTAATTCTATTTTATAGGACATGTCAATCAAAGATGCCAACCCTGAATCAAATGAAAGCGGAATCATGCCTTGCTAAAAGCAATTCCCGAGCCCTGAAGGTGCGAGTTGGGGGTGAGCATGAGAGGGGGCTTAGGCCCCTTTTGACGGTGGGGGTCTGGGGGACCTCCCCTATGAAAATCTTTAGTTTTAGCCTGGACATATGCAATTTCTGGGCATACTTAACCAGATAATTCTTAACTCAAACGAACATATTTACTCAAATTCTTTCTAACATTCAAAATTTATAAACATATTTGAATTTTCTAAAAAATCACAGTTTTTTATAGACAAATCGGAGTGGTTGGCATCTGTGTCAGTGTGTCCCAAATGCACAGGTCAAAGGTCATGATGTCAATTAGTGGTTTGTCTAGTCCAGATTCCATTATTTCCAGACTTTTGTCATATATAACATATGATATATTTGGGATTACACTTTCTTAGTTTGGCATCATGTAATCATGCTGTCATATAGCTGGAACAATGCTGAATGCAACATTAAACAAAAACAGACAGCAAAAATCATACACCTATAATCAATCGCGGAGAAAATACGATCTGAAAACATGGCAAAGAAATATTATGATTAGGGTTTTTCACTTCAATGATATGAATTAGGTTTGCACATCATCAGATAATATATTGGAAGTAAATACCTATTATCAATACGAACAACCCCAAGCATTCAGGCAAATAGGAACATGAAATACAGTAGTCATGGTGGAGCCAGTGCTGAGTGGATGTTGTTTTCTTCCTGCCTATGACAATTTGAGTGAGTGAGTGAGTTTAGTTTTACGCTGCTTTTAGCAATATTCCAGCAATATCACGGCGGGGACACCAGAACGGGTTTCACACATTGTACCCATGTGGGGAATTGAAAACAGGTCTTCGGCGTGACGAGCGAACGCTTTTACCACTAGGCTACCCCACCGCCCCCCACGACAATTTGAACAGTATTCGCATTCAGTCACCTCATGGAGGAACTGTGTGTTGTTTGTTAATGACAACTAGCCATCATGTCATGAAGTGTCTTGTATGCAGTTACTCCAGAAGTTCTAATGTTAAATGTATCCTATCTCACACTACGCATTTCATTCTTTTTCTTCAATCCTGTTGTGGAAATGCTAACAAAACAAGTTCACAGGATAAAAAACACACCTCATTTTAATACAATAGTAAAGTTTAAAGTAATATATGAGATTACACTGTCTCAGTAAAGTACAGAGTCTAGTGCTATTGTTGGGTTGCGTTCCATCCGGGATTCGAACCCACATCCTCAAAGTCAGGCCCCTAATAGCCAGCAAACAAAGTCAGCTGTCTAAACCACTCAGCCACCGCGGCTTCCACATAGTTAAGTAACACACTGCTTCTAACACCGCACATTAAAACAAGGTTTACAACTGTCATTTGCACATGAATGAATTCCCTCCCTTTGCATGATTTGTTTCTATTTTCATTTCCCCCAATTTTGTTGATAAATATTTGCATATTGAACTTACCACCCTGGCAGTGAAATGCTGCAATACTATGAATAACGAGATCCAATATGGCGTCCAGTTACTTCCCTTTGCATGCACACAACATAACAGTGCATCTAGTGTTAATGTCAGGAAGATAGTAAGAGGTTTTTCCTACTTGTTTGCTAATTTCAATAATGACAATATTAAATTTGCAATGATACATCACTAGAAATGAAGATTTACAAGTTCAGTGGTATATGTGTGCCAGACAATGTTTCATTAGCCGAGATTAAGACATTGGGAAGTTGGAAAAAAAGAAAGGCCTCCCACTTACACCATTTTTTTTCCATAGCAATTGCCTGAGAACTAATTTTCTTTAAGCCTATTACGTCATTTATGATCTCATACTGGATACTAATTTCTCTGTGCAGAGAAGCTTCTATGAACAGTAGCCGTTCTCTGTGACCATTAACAGGACTTTGAATTTTCTTGACAGGGGACACACATCGAACCTAGGTCCCCGGTTTAACCACTAGGCTAGATCCACTGATGCTATCCTCTGTGAATTGCTATACATATCAAGTACATATCAACCTTGGAATCAAACTTGGATTATATGCATGATAAGCAAACACCTTAATCACTTCACCACCCACTGGCTCCATAGCCACACATCAAAAACCCAAGGTGGGATGATGATGACTGACTGACTGACTGAGTTTAGTTTTACGCCGCTTTTAGCAATATTCCAGCAATATCACGGCGGGGGACACCAGAAATGGGCTTAACACATTGTGCCCATGTGGGGAATCGAACCCGGGCCTTTGGCATGACAAGCCAACGCTTTAACCACTAGGCTACCCCACCGCCCTGGATGATGATGATGATGATGATGATGATGATGATGATGATGATGATGATGATGATGACAGTGATGATGATGATGACAGTGTTTAAAACTCCCAAATTTCCAAGCTAGACAGCCGGACTGGTACCTTAAAAAATTACCAGTCCGGATACAAACAAAATCAGGTTAGTCAGGTTACTGTTTGTAGGCATCACAATGAACTACATAGCACCAACAGGCAATGCACCCAGTTTAGGTAAACTGAAAGTACACTTGTTGTAATTGGTTATCGTAACATGAACTGTCCAATCGTAAGTTTAACATAATCATCATAATACCGTAAACACCTCAAACTGACGACAGGAAAACCTGTCTGATATTATGAAATATTGAGTTTTAGGGGTAATATCTACCAGATCACCGGACAGGCTAATTTTGAAATTTGACCGTCCGACATGAAAATAGCTGGTCCGGATGGTCGGGCAGGCGGGAATTTTAAACGCTGATGATGATGATGATGATGATTTGGAGATTTAAAGTGCGCTTTCCGACATAATGCGTATTTCGCACACGGGCCCACCAGGCTATTTAGTGGGAACAAAACTTGACTTATTGGTATGGTAGATAATAACCATTTGACAACCCATTGCCCAAACACCTACCGGATTCATGATGGTGCAGTCGGCTGTTGAGGTGTTGAAGGGGTCGAACTTGTCAGCGCACACGACAATGTCGGGGAGCGGGTACAGACACATCCCCCTGTCGTACGCCCAGTACACCGGGCAGACGTGGAGTGGGAGGGGGCACAGGTGAGCCTGGCTGATGATGGACTTGGCAAACTAAAGGAAGACATTACATTCTGTTTAAAAATAAGAAAATACACAACACTTTATAGACCACACTATTTAATGTTCGATCAGAAAAGTCATTTGAGAGTAGAAACAAGCAAGTAAACACCCAACAAACCAGAACTTTCAGCATGATATTCTGAAAGCATGCTTTTCAAATTACACACTGATAAACTTTAGAACTAGTTACATACAGTGCCCAAAAAAGCATGTTTATCATTACTGTCGTAGGGCAAACTTCCACAGTGAGCAAATAGTGGTTTACTCCACCTTCACAGATAGCATTCGGACGTTGGCCCAACGTTGGCAATGTTGGCAAAACCATTGCCAACGTTGGAGTAACGTCTGAATGCTATCTGGGTTAAGACAATAGCAGCAACATCACCATCAGAACTTGGCATTAAACATTATTCCCATGTTGGAATCAAACCCAGACTTTTGTCTTGACAACCAAACACTTTAACCACTAACCTTGTTGGAATCAAACTCAGACTTTTGTCTTGACAACCAAACACTTGAACTACTAACCTTGTTGGAATCAAACCCAGACCTATGGCTTGACAACCGAACCCTTTAACCACTAACCATGTTGGAAATCAAACCCAGACCTATGGTTTGACAACCGAACACTTTAACCACTAACCATGTTGGAAATCAAACCCAGACCTATGGCTTGACAACCGAACGCTTTAACCACTAACCATGTTGGAAATCAAACCCAGACCTATGGCTTGACAACCGAACGCTTTAACCACTAACCATGTTGGAAATCAAACCCAGACCTATGGCTTGACAACCGAACGCTTTAACCACTAACCATGTTGGAAATCAAACCCAGACCTATGGCTTGACAACCGAACGCTTTAACCACTAACCATGTTGGAAATCAAACCCAGACCTATGGCTTGACAACCAAACACTTTAACCACTAACCATGTTGGAAATCAAACCCAGACCTATGGCTTGACAACCAAACACTTTAACCACTAACCATGTTGGAAATCAAACCCAGACCTATGGCTTGACAACCGAACGCTTTAAGCACTAACCATGTTGGAAATCAAACCCAGACTTTTGGTTTGACAACCGAACACTTTAACCACTAACCATGTTGGAAATCAAACCCAGACTTTGGTTTGACAACCGAACACTTTAACCACTAACCTTGATGGAATCAAACCCAGACCTTTGGCTTGACAACCAAACTGTCAAAATTAAAATTAATCTGCACAGCATACACTTGCTGCTGGTCAAATTCCATAATGAAACATACAGAAATGTCAATGTGCATTAAACAATTCAAAAACAACACAAGAGCCCTTAGCTCTAGAGACACTTCTGTAGTATGCCGGAAACCTTCATATTTAATGCAATGAAGCCTGCAAACGATGTGACATCACATCTGCATCAGATCTGACAACGGTATAGATTGTTCGTAAATTACATGAGGCTAGTTATTTCATCATCAACAATTCAGTCATGAAAGATTTTCAAGAAAAGTGTCCTGATACATTTCAAACTATGAATATTTTGACATTCTGTTTCAATTTAGACCTCTGAAATACATCTCTGAACACAACATCTTGATATGTACTTGTTACAATCATATTTCACTTCTCAAAAAAGGTATTTCATCCAAAATTTTGCACACAAAAAAAAAAAAGAAAAAAAAGAAAGAAAGAAACTTCAAGAGAATCTTTAAAAAACTTTGCTCATTAAAACAAACTACTTTAACTAAACTATGATCATGTGACCTTCAGTGGTTTACAACACACAACAGTTCAATCACTTTACTAGATTTTTTGCCTTTTTTCTCAGTCAAAGAAGATGTTGGACTTGTGCAAGTGATCTTTGTTCCAACACATACTTGCCTAAGAAAGATAAATATATTTTTTGTAAATATGTTCTCCCGATGTTTCACAAAATTAAAAAAAGCATCACGCTGACGACAATTCTCATAGCTGTGTAAATCTTGACTCACATGGGTTGGGATATCTCCGTCTGCTGGAAACTTGACACAATTCCGACACATCTTGGTGACGATGTCCTCTCGAAACACGACAATTTCCTGTGTGCAATACTGCAGCCGGCAGGGATTACTCGTGAAAACAGTTTGCGGAACTCGGCGTCTTAACTCTTCTGTTATGGAGTTAGGGATTGCTGGTCTAACAAAAGAAATACAAAACATTCTTTAAAATAATTCCCTTAAATTCTTTTCAAACGATTTAGAGAAATATGTCTGGACCTATGATCTCAAAGTATCCTTAATGCTTTATAATGCTGGGGCCTTGTTCATTGACCTCTTAAAAAAACCACACGACCTTTTTCAGTAGTAAATCTAAATGCTGGAATACATTATTCTATATTCCAAGCCAATAATTAAACAAAGTTGACAGATTACATTCTTAACTTAGAATATATATAATAGTTAGGTGAGCCTGGATATCTTAGTGCCTAGTGTCAGCAAAAACGGCCTACATAAATGGATCTTATTTCTCTTTGAAACCCATGCCAACCAATTTTTTTAATTTAAAAAAAAAGCCAATGTCTTGCGAGGATCATAGTAAAATCACCCTTTCAGTACGATACAACTGAAAAAATAAAACAAGCATTTCTGTGTGTGCCTTTTGAAATTTTGTTTTGTAGACAGAAATGTTTAACATTTATTAAGTGGGAGTGCACCTCAAGATGTTCAAGGTTGGAATGTTGGTGTGTGGAAATATTATCCATGCACACGTGTTGTAGCCAGAGTTGAAATAATGAGCGTGACTTAGTTGGACTTAAGGTGACAGATGATGGAGAAAGTTAGAATACACAGTGTTAGTTTCAAAGCCAACGACACAAAAAGGAGAACTTCTTTCTGGCAAACTTCCTGGTCCTCCAAAATAGCTGCATCAAAACACCTGTGACCCTTTTCCCTCTTCATGAGACATGGGACCATTACTTAATCACAATACCTGTAACCCCCCTCCCCATCACTAGATATGGGACCAGTACTTCATCACAACACCTGTGACCCCCTCCCCATCACTAGATATGGGACCAGTACTTCATCACAACACCTGTGACACCCCCTCCCCATCACTAGATATGGGACCAGTACTTCATCACAACACCTGTAACCCTCCTTCCCATCACTAGATATGGGACCAGTGTACTTCATCACAACACCTGTCCCCTCCCCATCACTAGATCACGGGACCAGTACTTCATCACAACCATGTGCCCCCATCACTAGATATGGGACCAGTACTTCATCACAACACATGTGATACACACCCCCTCCCCATCACTAGATATGGGACCAGTACTTCATCACAACACCTGTGCCCTCCCCTCACTAAATATGGGACCCATCACTAGATATGGGAGTACCCCTATCCCTCACCTCTGCCCCCCAACCCGACACTCACCTGGGCAATATGGTGGATGGTCCAGGGTCCTGGGGTCCAGGTACAAACACAAAACGACTATTCTCCTTTATTGATGGAAACTCACAAATTAGGTCTGCTAGATTATGAAATGATTCTGAAATATGAAATAGTTTATGATAAAACACCATAAAAATATAGATATTGGTTTTTTAAAATAATATTTGTATATATCTAAAGTAGAGTAACAGTACATTAAATAACTGTTTCAAATACACAGTATATCTAATCCCTGAATCACACCTTGCAATTCTTCATACAAGAAAGATGCTATGTAAAATATTCTTCATATCCTGACTTGATACTTCACAGTTTATTAAACCTAGCCATAATATCCACAGAGAAACATAGCTTAAAAAGAATTGCATATCCTTTAGATTCCATTACTCAATGAAACAAAATACTACTCTAAGCCATTATGTAATGACAGAGAAAGGATGTCAGAAGATACAAAGCAACATCTCCTGCCAGTGCTGCCAGAGTTATCTCCCTTTATCATGATCATCAGCTTCTCTACTAATTTCTTACTTACACCATGTGCATTTTACAAAACTGAATAAGAAGTGAAGATCATATTTAACTGGTTCTTTACAAACAACATCCCTGTTGTCACCTATTTTGTACCTGGCCAATTACTGGATCTTATGGTGTCCATTTTGTAATAATGTCTTTGTCAGTTATATAATTTGGGAAAAAACAACATGACACAACACATGCAAGTCTACTGTTACGTACCTTTTAATAGTTTAACATGATTACTCCCATGAGGGGAAGAAGAAAAGTTTCCGCACAACACAAAACAAGTGGGAGGGAACTCTGCGTATCCTGTGAATAACTCTCTCAACTTCTCCATCACCTGAAACAGTGATGGCATGCACAACTGATAAGTAATATATAATAAGTAAAAGAGGACAATATCATAAAATATGCTTTCCCAGCTTTCTTTATTTCGAATTAATAATTGAAATATTTTACTTCCAGCCTGTAATCAAGTAGGCACCAAAGTCATGTGTAGGGATTAAATGCCTCCTCTGATGTAATCACTGCTGTCCATCTGCCTATCTCTATAATGAGTGAGTGAGTGACTTTAGTTTTAATCCACACTCAGCAATATTACAGCTATATGGAAGTGGTCTGTAAATAATCGAGTCTGGACCAGACAATCCAGTGATCAACATCATGTGCATCGATCCTGCGCAATTAGGAACCGATGACACGTGTCAACCAAGTCAGTGAGCCTGACTACCCGATCCCGTTAGTCGCCTAACGACAAGACCGGGTTACTGATGATCAATTCTAACTTGGATCTTCACGGGTCATTTGTAAAAAGAAAGTCCAGCCTCTCCACTACAGAGAGCTGCTAGATTTGTCCCCTGGCCGTTCAGGGGCACAGAGATTGTCAAATCAGGTATGAGCTTTGTTACCTATTTCAAAGGGAAGTATTGCACATTTATAATTGTCATTTGCAATGTCCTCAGTAGGCTCAGATATTTTAAATATCATGTCGGTCATATTCTTTTGACTGGGCAATGTCGGCACATACATGACAACTCTACAACATAGGAATGTTTGTCTGATATTTCCACATACAGTTCTGTTAACTGGCTGGTAGGGCTGTGCAATATTACCTGTAAACGGTATATACCGGTACAGTATCTCGCGATACGATTATCGTGATATGGTTCAGATTCTGCAATATATTGGGTCATCCAGTGTTAGCTCCCTTTGAATTATCTGCCCTTGATTTCCATAGCAACAAATGTGCTCTAAAAGTGCCAAATATACTTTTTTTTTCTTTTCTGTTTCATGTAACATTGTACAAGTGGAAGTGTCTTTATAAGTGGCTACAAAAGTGCTAAATATTCGACTAAATGCTTTAAGTTTTGGGGTTTGAATGGTTTCATATGTGACATTTTGGAGGAATTAAGTGGCCTCAAATGGACCAATCTTTTAAGAAAAGCAAGAGTAATGGATATCAACTTGTGAATACCACAACGGTTTAGAATGTATGCTTGCTCATCAGGTAATGAATATTCACAATTAAGAAGTTGACATCCATAAGTCTTGCTTTTCTTATCCATTCCACTTCTAAATCAGTAAATGCCCTTCAAAGCTTTAACCAATCTTTTATTTGGACTTATAAGTAGAGCTGCTGGCTCTGAGTGACCATTTCACAATTCACATTATTTGTTATTTTTGTTTTGTTTCATAATGGGACATATGTTATCAATTTACAATAAAGGCCAAAGTCTTATAAATCTTGTAGGACTGTATAATGACATTCTAGTCAAGGATCTTAGTTATTGGAGGTCACATGAGATTTTAAGCTCAAGTAGTTCACCTAAATCATGTTTGTGTTTCATTTTACAACAGTTCATGTCAACACATGTTTATGTTGGAGTTGAATCTGAATGAATCACTGACATACAGTAACAATAATTACATACTGCATTGAAGTGCATTCTGTTGAAGCTAACAACACTGACCAGGAAAATCATGTTATACTGTTACCTTTATCATTATGTTCGCAAAACTCTGTTGCAATACAGTTACTTCAATGAAACATTCCACGTTAAGACTCTATATCATTTATCTGTACACCACTGGCATACAGCCATACACAATGGGGACATGAAGCCTGAAAATATGGTGTAACAGCAACTAAGAAGATGATGTCGCACACAGAGAGCTATTATGAATTTATGATGTGCGCACTTGGACAGACACTTTCCAGTCAATATATCAAAATATGTATTGCAATATCTCTTGAATTATTGCAATATTTCGCAATATGAGAATCAGGGCAATCCAGCCCTACTGGCTGGAAACATCAGGCTGGTAACTTCAAAATGTTACCTGTCCAGAATGGATTTAACCAGACCAGACACCACGATAGGACTCAGATGTATATAACATCTCAATTTTCTACCAGAACATCAGGCTGGCTAGCTGTAAATCTAGACCATCTGTCTGAAATCTAACCCGTCTCGGATGGACGGACGGTCTTATTTCACACACTGACTCCAATGATCACAATCCTAATTCTAATTCTGGGAGTCACAAAATAGGTTTATCACTGGAGTTACAGTGGTCTACGCCAGTTTGTGGAACAGACCAGTATCCTTAACTTGCTAAGGGGGACAACTCACTTTGACAGAATATTCCATTTTACAGAGTAACTCACTTTGACATGGTCCAGCCAAACATCAGACAGGAACACAATCATGGCATCCTCGTTGTCGAGCTCGATCTGTCTCAGTTTAGACGAAGCCTTAACACATACATTAGACGGGCCACCAAAAAAGTTAATGTTTCCAAAGTATGACCTGAAAAACAAACAAGAAATATGTTCAAATCATTTGAATGAGTGAGTGAGTTCAGTTTTAAGCCACTTTTAGCAATATTCCAGCTATATCACGGCGGAGGACACCAGAAATTGCTTCCATATCAGACATGGTGCAGAGGCTACCCCACCGCCCCTTCAAATCATGTGAGAGATTTTTATATCTGTCCATGTATTGCAATCTTTAGATAGTATAGATAGATATTTGATCATCACACAACACCTCTAATAAATGTTTGTATATAGTATAGATAGATATTTGATCATCACACAACACCTCTAATATATGTTTGTATATAGTATAGATAGATATTTGATCATCACACAACACCTCTAATAAATGTTTGCTTTGTTTGTTTGTTGTTAACAAACACTCTGCAGTATTCCAGCTATGGAATGGTGTATGTAATGATTGAGTCTGGATCAGGCGATCCACTGATTGATGTCATGAGCATCGATCTACACATTTAAGGATCACGATAACATGTGTCCAATAAAGTAGAAATAAATGGAAACAAAATAAAATATGAATTAGCATTTTGTAATGAATCAAAATGACCATACAATCCAGTGATCCACAGCATGAGTATCGATCTATGCAGTGTTTGCCCTTGCCATAAATATTTAGGAGTCATCATGACTCCTTGTGTCATGAGAGGGAGTCATGGACATGTTTTGGGGAGTCATATATGTAGGTTTTCTGCATCCATGCATAAAAATTTAGGAGTCATCATGACTCCTTGTGTCATGAGAGGGAGTCATGGACATGTTTTGGGGAGACGAATAAGCAGGTTTTCTGCATCCATGCATAAAAATTTAGGAGTCATCATGACTCCTGGTGTCATGAGAGGGCGTCATGGACATGTTTTTGGGAGTCAGATATGTAGGTTTTCTGCGTCATGGCAAACGCTATCTATGCAACTGGGATACAATGATATGTCAACAGTCAGTGGGCCTGACCATCCTGTTAAGTCACCTCTTACAACAAGCATGGGTTGCTAAAGACTAATTAACAAATCTAACCCGCCTCTAATAAATAAACACGATGGCTAGGAAAATAAACGAACAAAGTATATCTACCTTGATGTTTTGCTGGGCTCCGGTGGGGGAAAACCAAAAGCTGTCACGTGAAATGTACCATCTTCATATGACCCTTCCGCCAACACAAAACAGTTCTCTGTAAAAAGTCCTGTGTGGAAACTGTGCACAGTTGTCAAGGAAACATTCCAATTCCTTTCCTAAGGTACAGTCTAAGGTATCAAATTCCACATAAAATCATCATCTATACACAGCTGACATATCAATGCACGTAGAAATGGCACCTGATGACCAATTACAGTCGTATATTTTCGATATCAGAGTGAGTGAGTGAGTGAGTGAGTTAGTTTATTTTTAAGCTGCTTTTAGCAACATTCCTGCAATATCACCAGAAATGGGCTTCACACATTGTACCAATGTGGGAATCGAACCCGGGTCTTCGGCGTGACGAGCGAGCATTATAACCACTAGGCTACCCCATCAGCCCCTTTTCGATATCAGAGCAACTACTTATCAAACATAATAATTTCAGAACAAACAAATATGTAAAGCGAAAAATGCACTGTCTAAGGCACACACAATGATCAGTCAAATTTAGCAATCTCTCAAACTTCGCTCATGTGATTCAATACTAGCTGCATTATTCAGCTAAAAATGTAAAAAAAATTGATATTTTATACTTATCCTGACTCATGCTTATTGCTTGTCTTCTTCTTCTTCTGCAGAACATAGTGGAACACGTGTATTTCCCTATTGAAGTTCCCTTCAATAAAAATCACTAATTAGTACCGCGAGTTACCTCCCTTCCACAATGAGGAGAGGCCACCTCCACCCATGTGCCTCACTCTCTCCTCATATACTGAGCCCAACATTTTGAATTTTCAGGGGAAATCCAAAGTGTTATGTGGGGAGGGTGGGAGGGGCTTACCTCATGAGTCAGGATAAGTATAAAATATCAATTTTACTCTAAAAATTACATATTTTTCCTTATCCTGACTCATGCTTGTGCTTGTAGAATCCAGACAGAAAGGAGGTGGGAATATATAATACTTTGGATTTTAATAATTAGTGATTTGAACTGTGATGATTGTAATAACCCTATGGGAACTTCATAAAGGCACTGAACTGATGAATTCCTGCTGCTAACTTATCAGCTGCCATATAAAAGGTTATTACAATTTACTTATTATGATAAAAGTATATATAACATTAATACAATGCTTAAGACTAATAGACTTAAGCTTGTTAATGTGATGGCATAAACTCCATTAGAGTTTGTTAGCTAAAATACTTTTATGATATAAACATAGTACTGAGCTTAAGATATGATTAAACTTAAGCTATAAATATAAAATATAAAAATATGGTGTACTGCAACTAAGAAGATGATGTCGCACACAGAGAGCTATTATGAATTTATGATGCGCGACTTGGACAGACACTTTCCAGTCAATATATCACAATATGTATTGCAATATCTTTGAATTATTGCAATATTTCGCAATATGAGAATCAGGGCAATCCAGCCCTACTGGCTGGAAACATCAGGCTGGTAACTTCAAAATGTTACCTGTCCAGAATGGATTTAACCAGACCAGACACCACGATAGGGACTCAGATGTATATAACATCTCAATTTTCTACCAGAACATCAGGCTGGCTAGCTGTAAATCTAGACCATCTGTCTGAAATCTAACCCGCTCCTCGGATGGACGTGACGGTCTTATTTCACACACTGACTCCAATGATCACAATCCTAATTCTAATTCTGGGAGTCACAAAATAGGGTTATCACTGAGTTACAGTGGTCTACGCCAGTTTGTGGAACAGACCAGTATCCTTAACTTGCTAAGGGGACAACTCACTTTGACAGAATATTCCATTTTACAGAGTAACTCACTTTGACATGGTCCAGCCAAACATCAGACAGGAACACAATCATGGCATCCTCAAGCTGTTTCCAGCCTCGATCTGTCTCAGTTTAGATCTAAGCCTTAACACATACATTAGACGGGCCACCAAAAGTTAATGTTTCCAAAGTATGACCTGAAAACAAACAAGAAATATGTTCAAATCATTTGAGGAGTGAGTGAGTTCAGTTTTAAGCCACTTTTAGCAATATTCCAGCTATATCAATGAGGAGGACACCAGAAAATGCAGTTTCCATATCAGACATGGTGCAGAGGCTACCCCCACTCTTCAAATCATGTGAGAGATTTTATATCTGTCCATGTATTGCAATCTTTAGATAGTATAGATAGATATTTGATCATCACACAACACCTCTAATAAATGTTTGTATATAGTATAGATAGATATTTGATCATCACACAACACCTCTAATATATGTTTGTATATAGTATAGATAGATATTTGATCATCACACAACACCTCTAATAAATGTTTGCTTTGTTTGTTTGTTGTTAACAAACACTCTGCAGTATTCCAGCTATGGAATGGTGGTCTGTAAATGATTGAGTCTGGATCAGACGATCCACTGATTGATGTCATGAGCATCGATCTACACATTTGGGATACGATAACATGTGTCCAATAAAGTAGAAATAAATGGAAACAAAATAAAATATGAATTAGCATTTGTAATGAATCAAAATGACCATACAATCCAGTGATCCACAGCATGAGTATCGATCTATGCAGTGTTTGCCCTTGCCATAAATATTTAGGAGTCATCATGACTCCTTGTGTCATGAGAGGGAGTCATGGACATGTTTTGGGAGTCATATATGTAGGTTTTCTGCATCCATGCATAAAAATTTAGGAGTCATCATGACTCCTTGTGTCATGAGAGGGAGTCATGGACATGTTTTGGGGAGACGAATAAGCAGGTTTTCTGCATCCATGCATAAAAATTTAGGAGTCATCATGACTCCTGGTGTCATGAGAGGGCGTCATGGACATGTTTTTGGGAGTCAGATATGTAGGTTTTCTGCGTCATGGCAAACGCTATCTATGCAACTGGGATACAATGATATGTCAACAGTCAGTGGGCCTGACCATCCTGTTAAGTCACCTCTTACAACAAGCATGGGTTGCTAAAGACTAATTAACAAATCTAACCCACCTCTAATAAATAAACACGATGGCTAGGAAAATAAACGAACAAAGTATATCTATCTACCTTGATGTTTTGCTGGGCTCCGGTTGGGGAAAACCAAAAGCTGTCACGTGAAATGTACCATCTTCATATGACCCTTCCGCCAACACAAAACAGTTCTCTGTAAAAAGTCCTGTGTGGAAACTGTGCACAGTTGTCAAGGAAACATTCCATTCCTAAGGTACAGTCTAAGGTATCAAATTCCACATAAAATCATCATCTATACACAGCTGACATATCAATGCACGTAGAAATGGCACCTGATGACCAATTACAGTCGTATATTTTCGATATCAGAGTGAGTGAGTGAGTGAGTGAGTTAGTTTATTTTAAGCTGCTTTTAGCAACATTCCTGCAATATCACCAGAAATGGGCTTCACACATTGTACCAATGTGGGAATCGAACCCGGGTCTTCGGCGTGACGAGCGAGCATTATAACCACTAGGCTACCCCATCGCCCCTTTCGATATCAGAGCAACTACTTATCAAACATAATAATTTCAGAACAAACAAATATGTACAGCGAAAAAATGCACTGTCTAAGGCACACACAATGATCAGTCAAATTTAGCAATCTCTCAAACTCGCTCATGTGATTCAATACTAGCTCGTATTCAGCTAAAAATGTAAAAAAATTGATATTTTATACTTATCCTGACTCATGCTTATTGCTTGTCTTCTTCTTCTTTGCGAACATAGTGGAACACGTGTATTTCCCTATTGAAGTTCCCTTCAATAAAAAATCACTAATTAGTACACGAGTTACCTCCCTTCCACAAGCGCGGGAACGAGGGCGCCACCTCCACCCATGTGCCTCACTCTCTCCTCATATACTGAGCCCAACATTTGAATTTTCAGGGAAATCCAAAGTGTTATGTGGGAGGGTGGAGGGCTTTTAGCTCATGAGTCAGGATAAGTATAAAATATCAATTTTACTCTAAAATTACATATTTTTCCTTATCCTGACTCATGCTTATTGCTTGTAGAACCGACGGAAAAGGAGGTGGGAATATATAATACTTTGGATTTTAATAATTAGTGATTTGAACTGTGATGATTGTAATAACCCTATGGGAACTTCATAAAGGCACTGAACTGATGAATTCCTGCTGCTAACTTATCAGCTGCCATATAAAGGTTATTACAATTTACTTATTATGATAAAAGTATATATAATATTAATACAATGCTTAAGACTAATAGACTTAAGCTTGTTAATGTGATGGCATAAACTCCTCAGAGAGTTTGTTAGCTAAAAATACTTTTATGATATAAACATAGTGCTGAGCTTAAGATATGATTAAACTTAAGCTAAATATAAAATAGCAAAAACTCCTTAGAGTTTATTAGCTAATATACTTTTATGATATAAACATAGTACTGAGCTTAAGATATGATTAAACTTAAGCTATATATATAATAGCAAAACTCCGTAGAGTTTGTTAGCTAATACATTTTATAATGTAACCATAATGCTTAAGATATGATGAAACTTAAGCTAAATATATAATAGCAAAAACTCTTTAGAGTTTGTTAGCTAATATACTTATATGATATAAACATAGTACTGAGCTTAAGATATGATTAAACTTTAAGCTATGTATATAACAGCAAAACTCCGTAGAGTTTGTTAGCTAATACATTTTATAATGTAACCATAATGCTTAAGATATGATGAAACTTAAGCTAAATATATAATAGCAAAAAACTCTTTAGAGTTTGTTAGCTAATATACTTATATGATATAAACATAGTACTGAGCTTAAGATATGAATAAACTTAAGCTACATATATAATAGCAAAAACTCCGTAGAGTTTGTTAGCTAATACATGTTATAATGTAACCATAATGCTTAAGATATGATGAAACTTAAGCTAAATATATAATAGCAAAAACTCTTTAGAGTTTGTTAGCTAATATACTTTATATGATATAAACATAGTACTGAGCTTAAGATATGAATAAACTTAAGCTACATATATAATAGCAAAACCCGTGAGAGTTTGTTAGCTAATATATTTTTATGATATGAGTGATAGCACTGTGCTTAAGATATAATTAACTTAAGCTACATATATAATAGCAAAAACTCTGTAGAGTTTGTTAGCTAATACATTTATAATGTAACCATAGTACTGAGCTTAAGATATGATTAACTTAAGCTAAATATATAATAACAAACTCCGTAGAGTTGTTAGCTTATATTTTGTATGATATAATAACCATAGTACTTGATGCCCGTTCTCAGTTATGACAGAGCTATTGCTGCAAGATAGGTGGACAAGTTGAGCCTTTTAAAATCTTAGTCTGACGTAGATAACATAAGTAGTCAGCCACTTGAGGATAAGTAGCATATCTAGCTGTAAATCCTTTCTTTGCAGCATAATTGACAAAACTGTGCCATTTGTCATCGTATAAGTTGCAAGTTGAGTTACGCAGGGCAAGCTAGACTGCTTTGCCGCTCTGGCTGAATAACCTGTTATTCAGACACACCTTGATACAATCCATACGTGAAGTTGGAATATTTCTGGCTTTCCGTGCGGATGTATTAACAGATTCGAGCACTCTGTAAGATGTAGTATTGGTTGTCCGATTTCTTGAATAAGAGTTGAAACCACGTTCTCGCTGGTCAGTAGGCCGCGACCAAATTCAGATGGAGGCTCTGTGTTTGACTGATTTTGAGTAAACTTGTGAGATTAACGCTGGTGGCGGAAAAGCGTCTGCACGTTGAGTCCTTCCACGATATGCTTAGTGCGTCTGCCTTGCCAATGCTAGTGGGTCTGGAACTGGCGATACGAATGTGTCAGTTGTTTGTTGAATCGAGTGGCAAATAGGTCTATTAGTGGAGTTCCTATTTCCTTGATAATTTGAATGAATATCTCTGTATGGAGCATTCATTCAGCGACGTTCTGTGTTGTAAATAGCCTGTGCGATTGTCTTCGCGTAGGCTCGTAGACGGCATATGGCATACAGTTGATAGACAACTCATGCGATGTCTTGAACGGACTGACGAATGGCTATATATGACGAGTGGCTAGTATATGGAGACCTTGGAGGAGACTTCCTCGGCGAACGCCGGGGACTTCGCGAAGCTCTCGAAGTATCCCTTCTAGATCTTCTGGGTGAAGTAGACTTGGAGCCACTTAGCCTTCGCGACCTTCGCGAAAGTATCGAGTCGGAGTCCGATCAATATATGAGCGCTTGCTTCGCGAACGACCTCTGTGTTCTACAGGGTGTGGGCTCGGCGAAGCGCTCCTCCTCCGCGATGTCCCTCGCAACTGGTGAGGCTCTAGCTCCTTCGCGGAGGCGGCCTGGGACTTCCTTAGCGAAGTGTTCGCTACAGGCTGGATTGCCCTTCGCGGAGGCGCGTTTGTGGGCTCTGGGGCCCTACGCGAAGCAAAGGCGGGCTCTGGGGCCCTGTATGACTTATTATGGGTTGGGCTCTGGGGCCTCTGTAAACCGTAACGGTCCTCCATCAGTCTCATGATTTGGTTGACCAGGTCGTCTGGGATGGTCTGCGCTGGCGTTGAGGGTGTCCTCTCTGTGATAGTGACGGGACCCTCAGTTATAATCTCCGGCGTCAGCGTAGGCATCTCTGGTTGCATGTTGATCTGCGCTGAAGTGACGGTAGCCGATACCCGTAACTTCTTATGACGTACATCTGGAATGATAATCGGAATGTCATCATCATATAAACATAATTCTGAATATCAGAAGCAAAGTTTGTTTTTGTTTTTTTGTAGCCTTCGTGGATTTCCCTTTTGACGAAGCTGTAGCGTACGTTGAGACGACGTGGAAGCTCTTCTAGTCTTAGATTGTGATGAAGGAACGTCCTGGGATGCAGGTCGCTTCTAGGATATAGCGGACTGCGTCCCACGCTTATCCCCCGAAGGTAACTCAGGATATATCTGACTCCGATCTATTAGCCATGACTGAAGATTGTTTCCGAGATCTATCTGCCATCCGTCACAAGACGGAATATAAATATTTATCAAAGGCAGAATTAGACAAATTAATACATAATTTACAGCGCGGAAACAATAAAGCATGGAGATATGCAACTAGGGCATCTTAAAATGGATCGGTAGCAGAGTAATCGCGTAATTTACAAACAGTGCAGATTTTATTAACGCAAACTGCTGAGCAAACACACAGCTAACCGCGGAATCAAGCAGCAGAAACACGAATAATTATCAATGCATGTTGAATAAGGATACTAGTTACACCTCTATAGATGAATATAAGAGGTAACAAACTAAATATAAATAAAGAATATAGTGTGCAGGGAGACACAGGTGCTCTCATGTCTTGCTCACTGGGCGAAGAAGGAGAGAGTGAGGCACATGGGTGGAGGTGGCGCCCTCGTTCCCGCGCTTGTGGAAGGGAGGTAACTCATGGTGAGTACTTATTAGTGATTTTTTATTGAAGGGAACTTCAATAGGGAAATACACGTGTTCCACTATGTTCGCAAAGAAGAAGAAGACAAGCAATAAGCATGAGTCAGGATAAGGAAAAATATGGCAGTTTTCAGCCATACTAAAAAGCTCAGGTCAAAAATAAAATAAAAGGTAACCAATCTTCAGTTAGATTGAGTGAGTGAGATTGGTTTTATGTCGCTTTTAGCAATATTCCAGCAATATCACGGCGGGGGAAACCAGAAATGGGCTTCACACATTGTACCCATCTTCAGTTAGACTAACTCACATTTCTAAACACAGATCTATTTCCACGACATTCCCTTATTTCAGCCACTCCTCAGTTTAAGTACATGGAAAGGATATAGCACTAGACAGGTCTAGAGGCACTGCTCCTGTGGGATCCTCCAGGTACCACTTACCCTGAAACAGACACAGTTATTCAGGGCTACAGATAATGGCCGTATGTATGGATAAAAAATAGACCGATACGGTAGGAAATAATTTAGAAAACGTAGCAGATACGCACCACAGCCATTGTGTACGGTCTTAGAATCATTTACAGACATATTTATCTGAACAAGTATTGTTTAATTGTTTATTGACCGTTTACACCAGAGTAGCAATGCTGTCATGCATATATGAAACGAAGCACAAGTTTAATGATACACCATTAAATTCCATTCAGTACTCTAAATGTACTCTTATTGTTTTCCAGTACTCATATATTGAAAAAATAAGGAGTACGTACTCCTGATGTTGAAAAATTATCTGGAGCCCTGGTTATTCTAGGACAAGAAGACATGACACATATTCTTAGAAAATAATGTTAAAATCCCTAACATTGCTGCTTTTAAGATCTTGGAACATGGAGTATCAGATTACATGAAGTAGCACCAATCAACAACAACTGATTACGTCTCCATTAAGTCGCTCGACGTCATAATAAGACTCATTTGACCTTGGCCTTCAATTCTCAAGTTCATTGACTGCCTCGTAACAGCATGAACCATGGATGTGATAAACATGTGTTGTATTGGATGGGCGCCTTCAAATAATGAGTTTGGTCAAGACAAGCCAGTGATTGACTGACCAACCCAAAGTTGACCAAGAGGACAAAGATATACAGAAGGGAACCTATTCTGATCTGGAATCCTGAGAGGGCAATGAAACGAATCCTGACCCATCCCCACCAAAAGTCCTTGGTGTACCATTCTAGTTTTGACAGCATAAGAAACAGGACTTTGAGATTAGTCGGTCATTTGAAAAAAGTGAAAGAATTTACAGACGAGAGAAAATTACTTATATTCACAATAACAGTTTCTGAAAGTCAGGAAGTTCTTCAACATTAAAACACTGCGATATTCAAATCCAGCGACTATGTACCTCTTTCAGCTGAGTCAGCATCCCCAGAATGATGACGTCTCCAAGCTTGGCTGTACTTCCCAGTAAATATTCAACAGGCTTTAACTGAAATATAAACATCACTGCATGAAAACATTTGTTGTTCAATGGGACAAACCATTACTGGGAAAATCAGGAAAGGCATGTGATAATCATGATCTTTAGTGCCACCTTAGCTGGTCAGAGTGAGTGAGTGAGTGAGTGAGTGAGTGAGGAGTGAGGGTGAGTGAGTGAGTGAGTGAGTGAGTGAGTGAGTGAGTGAGTGAGTGAGTGAGTGAGTGAATGAGTCTGGTTTAACACCTCTTTGAACAGTATTCCAGTTATGTGAGTCATGGTGAGTGTCAGCTTACATTGTGGATGACAAGCACAGGAACCTGTTGTGTTTATGCCCTGCTTTGGTATTAGTGGGACAAGCACAGGAAGTTGGGTTTTATGCCCAGCTTTGGTTTAGCTTTGGTATTAGAGTATACACAGCATGTACAATATGTTATGTAGGAAAGCTTACAAACCTGGAACTTTTTACTTTGTTCTTCTGGGACTGAACCAAGAGCAGGAGCTGTAAACAGATCATGGCGTAACGTCCGCTGAAATGACAAAAGATTTGTGCACTAAGCTGTAAATACTATGTGATACTATGTTAACGCTGCTGCCAAACTCCTATTGAAGGGCAACATCACAACACAAATCCTCTATATGAATAACATGCACTTTAGTTCACATGCTTTCCCCAGTTTGCAGTTCAGTTTTATTTAAAAATGAGTGAGTGAGTTTAGTTTTAAGCCGCACTCAGCAATATTCCAGCTATATGACGGCGGTCTGTAAATCATCGAGTCAGGACCAGACAATCCAGTGATCAACAACATGAGCATTGATCTACGCAATTGGGAACCGATGACATGTGTCAACTAAGTCAGCGATCCCATTAGTCACCTCTTACTACAAGCATGGGTTACTGAAGATCAATATTCTAACCCAGACCTTCACGGGTCTTTATTAAAAACACAGGAACAAGTTGAAAAGCCATGCAAAGTACAAGTAATCAAAATTAATTTATCAATAGTAACCATGATAGAGTACCTGGTGTAGTGTGGTGTATCGGTCACGAAACAGTGCTGCTTTATCCAGGGAGCTGCCATGTAGCACTGGGGAGGAATATCCCATGTCGCTGTCTCTATAATAATTTCATTCACCATGTCATTCCTCATGAAAATATATAGCAGTACCTTTAATTCTATAGAAGTATATATAGCTGTACCTTCAATTCTATAGAAATATATACAGCAGTACCTTTAATTCTATGATATACCTTTTGTGAACTATGAATACACAATGCCGCCATCTAAGTGGTCAATAGAACATGTTACATTTGGAATGACACTTCCTCAGTGTGGAAGTTTTGTGGAAGGTTGGTGGCTGTGTGGGTTAGATCGCCGAGATTGGGTGTTGGCGATTAGGTGCCAGTGTGGGTTCGAAACACATGGATGGGACTCAACCCAAAAGGTATGAGAATCAGAGCTTTCGTGGGAAAGCGTTAAACCTTTTTATGAGGTTTCCCCAAATCCTTTCAGCCATGTTCTGGACTTCACAAGACACATACTCTGTGCCACATCAGACAGAAGTCACTCAAGAATGGGGATCATGTTTCAAACACTAAATAAATTACTTAGGCCTAAAAATAAAAATGTTGTGGTTCCGATTACCCGACCAACCCTTGAATTCTGGTAGCCGACCCTATTTTTCTTAAGCGGACTGAATAAAATAAGCTTTCAGATACCATTGTTTTTCCCCAGCACCGACAGATATCGGCATTCTGATAGAGAAAGTCGACATGATGGCCGCAAGCTTGTTTGAATAAACAATAACACATTGATACATGTGTTATTAGTTTGTACTTTCCTTCTAAGAACAATATGTAAAAAAAAAAAAATCCTACCTACCTACCCTAAATTTTAAAGAGATGTAATCAGAACCACAACATTATTTTTATTTGGCCTTATACACAATTCCAAGATAGAAATACAGTAAAAGAAATTTCCAATGAACACTTTCCAATAAATGAGTAATTCCATGAATACTTTCATAAAAGTTGCTTTTGACTCGCCACCAAATGCTTGAATAGCCTGACAAGCATTGTAAGCTGACATACTTTGATAATACTTACGGAATAAACTTTTTCCTCTCTGAATGATATGAAAATCTTGGGACGGAGAACGCATCGATGATACAGAACACTTTGTCCCTGGCAGAGATAAAAAACAATTGTAGACAAAATCAGTTTTGAGGACAATCCTGAAAAAAAAGAGTTAACAATAATTATCATAAAGCAATTTATTTGACCAGATTTTTTAACCTTCAATTCAAACTGGTCATCTATATCAGTGGGCATGGTTTTGGGGCTTGTTTGTATGTTGTTTAACGCCGCACGCAATATTCCAGCTACATGGTGGCAGTCGGTAAATAATCGAGTCTGTACCAGTCAATCAAGTGATCAACAGTATGACCATTAGGGCTACAACGATTCACCCAGACCTTGATTTGATTCAATTTTCCATATTGGACCCTCAATTCTATCATTTTCGATTCGATTCTTAACACAAGTAAAAACATCAGATTTCATTTAACTCTCAGAGTTGGCATTTTTACAGTGAAATCCATCATCAACTTGGCTGTCTACTAACAACAATTCTCATTGGATATTTGGCCCGGCGTCAACCAATAACGTTTTGCCTTATTTCAGTGCTTGAAACTGCTCGAGTTGGAGTCAAAATTACGTTCTGGCTGTGTGGAAATAATTTAAATAGGTAGTCAAATATAGAATCGAAATAGCGATAATGGTTATCGAAAATCGAAACTACGGTGTCAGATTCGATTTTCGATGAATCGAACCAAATCACTGCAGCCCTAATGACCTTCAATCTACACATTGGGATACGATGACATGTGTCAACCAAGTCAGCGAGCCTGACCACCCGATCCTCTTAGCCGCCTCTTATGATAAGCTTGGGTTGCTGAAGATCAATTCTAACCTGGACGTTCAAGGGTTTATGGCTTGTCGCTATTTTCTAACATCACAACAAAGGGACACAAAGAATGGTCTTCACAAATTGTACTGTTTGTTATCATGAGGTAATTATAGCTACCAACCTGCCAGGCCCTTATGTATATCCAGCTAAGATAAAAGTGAAACAGAACCTCTAACAGTTACAAAGGCAATAATTAGAAGTAGTCATTATATATAACAATTTTCATTATAGTCATATACAGGCATAACAACCTTGGGCGGTGGGGTAGCCTAGTAGTTAAAGCATTCGCTCACCACACTGAAGACCCGGGTTTGATTCCCCACATCTGTACAATGTGTGAAGCCCATTTCTGGTGTCCCCCGCCGTGATATTGCTGGAATATTACCGAAAGCAGCGTAAAACTAAACTCACTCATTACAACCTAGGACCCACCCCAGCTCAAGGGCCAAAGGGCTGCGGGCTGATATTAGAATTGAGTTGATATGGGGTACTGTATGAATCCGCCATGTAATAACCTTTTTATCATATACCCTTACACAAAGCGTGAAATGCATTCATTTGCAAGTGAACACATTTTACCATGGTTGAAAGACATTATCACGGGAGAGCAAGCAGTGTAGATAACACACTAAGGGACATAACTCCATTTTCTTACCACCTAGGCTGAAATCATCACCCATTTATAATACATTGATAAGCCAAGTCAACCCAGCAGGGGTGTAATACAGGGCTGGTGATTATATCCCTCTGTTATTACTGTCTCTATCTTGGATCAATAGCAGACACAAAACGTCTCATGTCATTGTTACTAGTTAGGTACATGATATACACCAGAGGTAGGCAAAAGGTTATCTCAGGCAATTTTACAACTCACTTGACTCTTAGTCTGGTGAGTTAAAACTGTTAACACATTCAAAATTAGGCACCTTGATCAAGCCCCAAAAGTAAAAGAATTTCTACTTCACTGAGAAAGTGTAATCCCAAATACAGCTTTTGTTGCATTTAACTATTTCCTAAAAGACATTGTGTATTCATAACCTTGGCCGTGGGAGATGTGCCACATAACACACTTGTCAGAGGCCTTCACAAAGTACGTGATCAAGACGACCATTATCAGACTTCCATTTTTGTGGAAGCCTCGGTGGCTGAGTGGGTTAGATTGCTGATTTTGCGTGTTGCCAATTTGGTGCCTCAGTCTGAGAGTTTGGGTTTGAATCCCAGATGGGTCTAAAACTACAAAAGTACTAGAATCTGTACTTTACTAAGAAAGTAAACAATTATAGTGCGAGTTTAGTTTATGCCGCTTTTAGCAATATTTCTGCAATATCACAGCGGGGGACACCAGAAATGGGCTTCACACATTGTACCCATGTCGGGAATCGAACCTGGGTCTTCGGCATGACGAGCCAACGCTTTAACCACTAGGCTACCCAACCGCCCGTAAACAATTAGAATTACATCTGATACTTTAAACTTGATCCATCAAGTGAACTAGTGTTAATTTCTACTCTGTCAAGCTGCACTTTCCACACCAGATTTATTATCACAATGTTTAAGGTTCATGTGCCCTCAAAACCTGCTTTGTTTCAGACAAGTAACGTGTTACCCTTCATCTTCCTGCTCATCGTTGCACTCCTGTACTGCCGATTCACAAACTTTCCGGTCGATCATAGATGATGATACTGCAACATCAAAAGGACGTACATTTACAGACAATTTTTTTTTATATATATAACGCTGCACTCAGCAATATTCCAGCTATACGGCGTCAGCCTGTAAATAATCAAGTCTGGACAAGACAAAACTTTTGTCAACAGCATGAGCATCAATCTATGCAATTGGGATATACAATGACATGTGTCATATGACTCTGTCAACAAAGTCAGCGAGCCTGACCACCTGATCCCGTTAGTCGCCTCTTACGACAAGCATGGGTTACTGAAGATCAATTCTAACCAGGATCTTCACGGGTGCCTACTTGTATCAAAATGCAATTTTAAAGTAGCCATGGAAGCCAAGGCAATATTTTATCAGACAGCACAGTTTCACATGTTTAAATGCTGATAGTCTTCATTGTCAGGTGTGTTTACTCAGACGAACATGATAAGGGTCTCAAGGGTTGTCAGGAAAGACCCCATCACTCTTATCTCCATTCATTGAGCTGCACAAATTCATCAAGGTATCCGGGATCAGGTGGCCAGGTTCCCAATTACACAGATCGATGCTCATGCTGTTGATCACTGGATTGTCTGGTCCAGACTCGATTATTTACAGACCACCGCTGGAATATTGCTGAGTGCAGTGTAAAACTAAACTCACTCACTCACTCATCAAGGTATCAGTACCCAGCAAGACTTTGTGTCATGATACAAGCATTGCACAGATTTGTATCAGAAAGTCTGTAATCATAATATGAAAGTTACAGCTTCAATAACTGGAAACATTGTTGATGTGAAGAATTATTAGATTATAAGTGTTAAAGATCACATATACTCTAGGGGGGTACATATACATAAATCACTAACTGGCATCGCTATAAATGAAACCCCGTCATTAAAACTACTCACTTCGGTCTTTAATTAACTTAAATCGACCTTTTTGACAACAGTGCACAATTCTCACCCGCGAACGAAATTTCAACCAATCACAGCGGGGCGTCTCTGTGACGTCATATGAGGAATAGATATGAGGGCCGATGCAGAATTCATCTACATTTCAGGGGGTAAATTATCTTGTTTACAGGTTTGTATAAACCTGAAATCGTGACAACTGTTGTGGAAAATGAAAGCTATATGTTCTCACAATCTACTGTCATTTAATTTTGTCTCCTGCTTTGCCTAGTTTCCGAGTTACAACTTGTTTTCATAGACGATTCTGTCAAAATCGCTTGGTGTCGTTAGGCCTTGTTTGTATAATGACTGATCCAAATTGATCCAATTTCTGTGTTTTTTTACCTCGATATTTAATCATGTCATGTAAAAATATGACGTCTATTACGTATGATATTACAAATTGACATTTGATTTATTTGAATCGGTAAACTAAACAACCCTACTTTGCCATTGCTAGAAGAATCTGAAAATTTACTAAGGTAAATAGGTACATACAGTTTTAGCACACAGCAAATGCTTATATGTATTTCTTATGCAACAATGAAGTTATGTTTGTATTCTCAAAACAGTGTCGGCCCATAAGTTTTCACATGCAATACAGCAACTAATACTCCCTTGTTGTAACCCGTGTTAGGTGGTATAAACCTACACATGTTATTTGTCATCATTCACTTGATGGTCAGTTAATGAATTTATAACAGGTATAATTAGTGGTAACACACTTAGATTACCCGACAAAAGTTCCCATTTGGCATTTCTTGTGTCCGGAGTAAATATTCAACATTATAAACATCGATCAAAGGATTAACTGATAACACGCTGATTGATTAGTTACTTTTATCTTACACAGCGGATTTGTCAAAAGGTAGTGTTTATGTATGTAGATTTACTAATCTATACTGAATACACTCTGTCGTGTCGGTGTCTGCGTAAAAACGTCCTTCTTTCAAAGGATTAACCGGCAATACATTGATTAATTGCCCATTATTGGCTAACTAAATTACTGTTTTTAAAGAAAGGCGGACATTATGCAATTAGTTGCCAGGTGTGCTATCTTGGGTGACCAATGAGACTATACACCAATGTGAAATGCCTGAAAAGATTTATCACTTTTTCGTATATTAAACTGTTAAAAGACACATCACTTGGAACAGCTGCAGATGAATGGCATATCACTCGTTTTTGTGGATATTGATGGATACATTCCTCGAACAAGGTAATAGCCTGACATTGTTCCTATAACTTTAATCTGTTTTAAATATTTTAATATTTGCATTTTCTTTTTATTCATTTGTCGTAGCATTCAACAGAATCATTGTTTTCGCCGTGAAGTGTAATGAGACAGACAACATACACTAGGGTGTGTGTTCGAATTATGATTCACATTGGCAAACTATAAAATGTCTAGATATTACAGTTCTGTTATAAATTCACTATAAGTATCAGAAGATCGTCTGCTTTTTATTTAGTTTCAAAATGCATACAAGTATGATAATAAACTAATTAGGATTATAAGACCAAATATAAAGACGTACATTGACTAGTATCTACATACTGGTGAGTGGACATTAACCATGTGAATGTAGCAAGAAATTTATCGCGCAGTATTGTGACTTCAACCCCCACCTCGCTTCCGTGGAAGAAATCGTTATGTTATAAGTTGTGTCATGCAAAATCCTTTTGGTTATGATTCCAATACATATTTAACTACGAGTAGAAAGTAGTTTTGATTTTCTAACTTGATTAAAACAAACCATAATCTCATTAATTCTAACAGACTTTAGCCTGTCACTTACGATTTTCAAAAATGGCGGCGCCCTGTCGCGAACATCTGCCAGTCTGAGGATAAATGCTATTTAGGTTTGTTTTCACCGAGTTATAAAATCAAAACTACTTTTTACTGGTAGTAAAATATGTATTTGATTGATGGCCAATAGGATTTTGCATGACATAGCTTATAACATAACAATTTCTCTCGTGGAAGCGAGGTGGGTGTCAATATAATACTACTTACAATATTGTTGTTACTTCGACCACAACCTCGCTTCCGAGGAAGAAATCGTTATGTTACAAGTTGTGTCATGGAATATCTTTATGGTCATCAATCATATACATATTTTACTACAACTAGTAAGTAGTTTTGATTCTTTAACTTCCGTGAAGCGATCTGAACACAAGTAAGATATCGATTCAGGCTTCCACAACGCTCGCTTCGCACTCACAAACATAACCCATTTAGCACGAACTGCAGGGTCCTGTGGAAATCTGTGCATGGTGACACCATCGCCCAACCCCTAGGAGCAATTGACGACAAAGCAACGATTCGGCATGTCGTCGTTGATGTCGAGAAATCATCAAAACGATGAGCGTGCTACACACTTTCTATACAACTAACTGAAAATCGTTCCTCATATGACGTCACTGCAGTGCTCTGGCGACAGAGTTACGTAACCTGTCTGTGGTTTCGTTGGCGGGCGAGAGTGAAGCAGGTGACTTTTTGGCAACTTTTAATCGCTCGGTATTAATTAACCACAAGTTTTTTAAGAACAAATTTGGTGTTCCGCATAAGTCTAACCACAAATCTTTCATATGTAATAGTTAAAAGAGTACAAAAAAACGTTTATTTGTTCTTTAAGACTGTATCATGATATATCAAATCAACTACTGTGATGAAATACAGTGCTGATTCACAAATATACTGGACAAAATAAATTAAGGATATTGGTATTTTTATGATTGATATTTATCAATGTGTCAATGAATAAATAGATCATTATTCATAATTTCAAAACTTATGCATATCCCTAACTATTTTTGTCCAGTACATAATGCACAAAGTTACACCTTGATTCATGGGCCCATTTCAATTTGTTCAGAATGCTGTTTTTGTTATTAATTCATTAACAAATGTGTCACCACTCATGTGTCGGTGTTACAAGCGAGCGCTTTAACCACATGGCCACCCCTCAAACCCTTTGTAATTGTAATGACACATGCAGTCAGGTAACTTGAAAAATAAAATAATACCAGTAACATTATATGAAATGTTTTTTGTCCCGAAATCATCTGTTGTCTATTAGATGATAGCCTGACACTGAAATGTATTAATGCATGGCCTATTAAGAAGTTGCATATCCATAAAAATTGTCCTCATTCTTCATCACCTCAACTTCTAGAATGCCAATCAAAGAAGTGTCCTATTACAATCTAATGAGACACTTATGCTTCTAAACCATTTTATTTTATCACGGGCTGTGTAAAATCATAATTTTCCCAATGATTTTTAAATAAACAACATAATTAATATTTCAATGTTTTTTTTACAGCTTAATTATGAAAAGGTGGTTACGCATAACAGCATCAAGGGAGATAACTCACATGGTTGCTTCTGCACAATCTCAATGATTTTCTCCATCCAAGTTTCCTTCTGTACATCAGCCACGGGGGTCAACACATCCACAAGGTAGCGGCTGGCCTCACTGTAACCATGGCAACAATAAACATTCATGAACAAAATGTAAGTATATCTGCAAAAATATCTCTTTGCTAAAGCATTTTAATTTCAAATATGCAAATGACGAATATGACAATCAATAATCTGTATCTTCCACACAAAATTTGACTAAAATCCAAAACAATTTGTAGTCACTGGAAGATGAAATTTAACTTTGAAATGTTTGGACTTGTTATCATAATAAACTAGATGGAAATATATTGCAACTAGTTTGTAAAATAACTAAAGTAATAAGGGGTCAAAAAGGGATCTCCCAATAAATGCCAAGACTGTATTTCATCTTTCCTGATCTGGCTGAGCGGTCTAGGCGTCTGACTTTGTGTGCTGGCGAATAGGTGCCTGACTCTGAGGGTGTGGGTTCGAATCCCGGACGGGACTCTATCCAACAAATGTACTAGAATCTGTACTTTACTAAGAAAGTGTAATCCCAAATATGACATATGTTACATTTGACCACTTTCTAAATGGCATTGTGTATTTTCATACCTCTACAGAAACTTTAATGATATCTTATGTATCTATATATTTGTTATAACCTTACAACACCCCAATGATGTCATATATATTGTCTTTTATGTCATGCGTAATTTATCTGAGAATTGAAATGGAATAAACAACAATTTTTAAAAGTTCTTGCATAGTGGTAGTTCTATCAAAACCACGAACTGACTCAAAAGTTAGAAAAATTAGCTGTGGAAAAATAATGATTTTCATAAGGGCAGAAAAGAATATACACTTTATAAACAATTCACAATGCTCATGGAAAATTATTGTTATATATTCATAAATGAAGACCTTTCTGCAGGTGAAGGGACGGTGGGGTAGCCTAGTGGATAAAGTTTTGCTTCTCACGCCAAAGACTCGCGTTCAATTCCACACATGGGTACAATGTGTGAAGCCCACATCTGGTGTCCCCCGCCGTGATATTGCTGGAATATTGCTAAAAGCTGTGTAACACTCAACTCACTCTGACTTGTGAATACTGTCCTCATCAAAGATACAAATAAACAGGCGATTGGTGAACACTCCCTTATAAGTAAGAGGCAACAAACAGGATCAGGTGGTCAGGATCGCTGACTTGGTTGACATGCCATTGTATCCCAGTTGCATAGATCTATGCTCACGATGTTGATCACTGGATTGTCTGGTCCATATTATTTACAGAGCCCCACCATATAGCTGTAATATTGCTGAGAGCAGTGTTCAATCAAATCAAACCACTCCCTAATGAAGGAACCAGTCCCTTACACATAAAATTAACCATACAGTATTATCAATGAATCATTTTGGCCCCCATCATATTATCTGTAACCATGTGTGTTAATTATTGCACGTATTTGAATACACACCTAAATACGATCTAAATCAAGGCAAATAGGGTTTTGTCACTGAAATGTTTACTCCCAGATCCAGTTGGTTATTGATTGGGTCTGTAGAGCTTGTAGTCAGAATACAACAAGTCTCCATGATCAGTTGTACGGTATGTATCTTATATGATAAATGCTATACGACAGTACAACGCGTAACATTATTTTATGAATTTGCACCTGAATGACACATTGACAGTTCCGTTTTATTGTTGTTTTTCAGCAAAATCACAACTCAGTCAACTGCTTTCGGACCCTGTTTTAAAAAAAAGACATGTTCCTGCGAAAATTCCTTGATATATCTCGAGGTCAACGAGCTTAGTGGACTATAGTGTTTGTTTCCGATTCGATCACAAAATAACATCTGATTACACACCTCCGGAGAGTGAGGCCATGCATCTTGAAAGACGACTGTATGTGTGACTTCAACTTCGCAGCCATTGCGTATGTCCCGCCAATTCCGAAAACACACGAATCGATAAGACAAATGCTGGCAATTCAATAACGTATCACTACATTACAGGCGTAATCGCCAACTGTACATCCTAATAATGTACATTTTAAGTATTATATAACTAAAATCGTGCCATTCGAACTTGAAGGAACGGTGAATTCTTATTCTGTTTTATCGATTTGTATTGTTGTGAGTGGGTGGGATTTTCCCCGATGCAAAGATTAGCTCTAAACAGTGTGTACTTCTTACTAGCTAATTATGAGGTATCGCTAATGTCACTGTCTGGAGCTGTGTTACTTCTTGTGTTTGAAGCTCTCCTATAATATTTGTGACCAAATGAAGTGAACAGTTTCAAAGAGTACTTTAGTGAGATATTGGAAATCCTTCAATATTTTAACGTTAAGGTGCTTTTCCGCACGTGCTCGTAAATACTTTTTACACTGAATCTAAATAAAATCTTCATAGATTGTTCATCGATTTCTTCATCATCAATTTGAAGAATGAAATCCATCACCCATCCATCCCACACCCGATTCTCCCGATGTCATGGGAAATACCAGTATTAGTGTTACTGACAGTTTTTCATACAATCCCTGGACAATATTTTTGTCTCCTCCGCAAGTCTTTATTTCCCTCAGGTTCATGATCCTCCATCTCACCCAGGTTCCTTCTGAATAAAACATGGACTCATTTGTTCCTATCACAATTATATATTTTTCAGAGGCTAAGCGTTAGTTTACTTATTGAATATTAATTATAAGATAATTATTCATTAACACGGGACATCAGTAAGCTAGTTTAACAGATCGTATGCGCACCTAGTTTAGACAACCGGGTACATTCTGCGTTACACATAGATACTCGGATACATTGTGGTTTCGGGTAGACAGGATCCCAGTCAAGAAATCGCATTGTTTGGCAGGTGCACGAGGGATGAAAGCGAGCATTTGATTGGCTGAATGTGTAACCCCTGACCTAGCAGGATGTTTTGTTAGCCCGTAGGGGTTGTGTTTGTCGTGTCACATGAAGAGGACAATTCCCCATATTACACGGACGGCAGTTTAAGATTGTTTTGCGCACAGTATTTAAATTAGGTGAGTATTGATTGGTGTAATGTTCACTTATCTAAAACAAATATCTAACAGGTGAATGGGCCCAAACACGGAAATGATTACGTCAATTCCCGTATATAAAGGCCACAAGTATAGCCATTGCGACTCGAATATGTACTAGTCCGTGTGAAGCAATCTTCAAACGGTATGTACAAATAAATCCAATTCGTCACATCGTCTGTTGACCTCGGTTAAAATTGAGAGTACGACATTCTTGACCCAAGGTATTTCCCTAAGGCGGAAATACTATTGAACTGTGTTCGTTTATTCAATAACTCAGAAACCGAAACTTCATTACTGTACAAAATTATAATAGCTGTTTGAAACACTGTGTTAGTAGCTTGTGACATGCGAAGTTTGTGTTCTCAGGCAATATACAGATCAGATCTAAAATAAGGACAGTGGGGTAGCCTCGTGGTACAGTGTTTGAAGCCAATTCCCTGTCGAGATACTGCTGGAAATTGGCAGTGGAATATTGCTGAGACAGGTGTTAAAGCTCACTCACTCACTCACTCTCCATTTTAGTATTTATTACTATTTATTTTACACTATCTAATGTACATGTATATGTATAGTCTGTTAAAAATTAGAATGGAAATGTAATACATTCAAGGGGTGAAATGGTATACTGCGGTATTAGTAGAACCGCAGTATTTTGCCTTCGTTTCGGTATATCATAATGCAATCCAAAAATTCTTTATTTTAGGTTTTCTTAGTGTCATTTCTATCTAGTCATAAAATGACAGTTTTGTTCATTCAAAATAACTAAGATTATGGTTATTTTTTTCCATGTTATGAAACAATGTAAGGTTTGGCTCTTGTCAGTATTCTGCATTATGATCATATCTCATATACCGAACCAAAACGGACCGAACCAAAGGCCTTGTACCGCAATATGTACTGCACCGTGATTACAGCACACCGTTTCACCCCTAATACATTTTCTTGATGCATATGCAATGAAACATTATTGTATAATGTACATGTATGTTATATGGGTCATGTGGCCTTGAAAACAAAAACACTTCAAATAATTCATTCAAACTAGTTTGTTTGCCCAATTTTGATTTGAACTCAGTTGTATACAATTTTGGTATTGAAATGTCAGTTTTGGTGAGAATATTATGCATATTTGACGTATAACTAGTGATAGTACGATGGCTGAGTATGATTGTTGCATAACACCAGCGTTTGAAATACCTGCCTGTCCGACCTCCTTGGGCGGGTTATTTTCAACACGGACTGCCAGATTCTCAAATTCTCCTGCCCGACAGTCGGGGTTACGGGTTAAAATTTAGACATGTATATGAAGATATTCATCATATTTCAGGATAATAGATCATTATTAATTCACTTGTAAAACTAAATGATGAATTCAAATGGATGATAAACTACGTCGCTTGTCAAACCTAAATTATTTGTGGGCAGGTAAGTTTTTGTCAGGGCTGGCAAGTTTTAAATCTAACCAGCCTTGTGATCTGGCTGAAAGTTTTGGGAGTTTCATACCCTGATAACACACAAGCATGGCACATGCAATGCATGTGCATTAAATGTTTCAAAATCAACTGTACTGAAATGTTATTTTCTGTCCAAATTGTGATGATATTAATAAGAGATAATAATCACATGGGAGAATATAAACCAAAGACAAACAACAAAGATTCCCACAAATGATAATGACGATAATGGCTTAAAAACAACCTGATATAAATGTCAGCTTTCTTTTTCACACGGAAGACAAAAGATCATAGTTGTCACAGGACAATATTTCCCTGGAGGGTGTTCAAGTTATAAAATGTTCGCGTCCCCTCATGGTTTCAATGTCAGCCACTATCTCCACAGTCAAGGGCCCGACTTGCTAGTAAATTTTCATGGGGTCATTTTGTAAATATGTCACTCTATCCAACTTGTTAAGTTATAATACACTTTTAAATCATGCAAGATTATGGCTTGATAGAAATGTTCTTCATATTAGCAGCTTAATGACGAAACCTGTGTCATGCCGACAATATCTTCTTCTCATCTTTTTTTTGTAATCTTTTGCTTAGTTTCTACATTCAAATTTCGGGCTAGTGAATTATTTGGAGGGTTATTAACTTTCAGGCATAGCTAGCCCAAGTGGCTAGCAAAATTTGGAAACTATTTTTGTGGGATATGATATTGCTGGAATATGGTCTGAGTGACCTGAAACCGTGCACACAGTATTACATAAAAGAAAATTGTTTATCAGTTTATGATAAATATCCGACCGAGTCACTCACTATATCTCACAATCAGTTACTTGTGAACTGTTGAACTGTGCAATAAATCACTTGACAGAAAACAAATCAAATCGTAATGGCTTGAACTCTGATTTGACACTGACATTGACAAGTGATGTTTTGCTGAATGTCATGTGACAATAATATTTTTGTAGTGCTGTAGCCATGACAATACCCGTGCGGATCTGGGTTGGAAATGATTTTCAGCAACTCATGTTTGTCTATTACTGCATCGGGGCGGTGGGGTAGCCTAGTGGTTAAACCGTTCGCTCATAACGCTGACGACCCGGGTTCGATTCCCCACATGAGCACAATGTGTGAAGCCCATTTCTGGTGTTCCCTGCCATGATATTGCTGGAATATTGCTAAAAGCGGCGTAAAACCAAACTCACTCACTCACTCACTCACTCGCTCACTCACTCACTCACTCACTCACTCACTCACTCACTCACTCACTCACTCACTCACTCACTCACTCACTCACTCACTATTACTGCATCAAGCAGTCAGACTTGCTGACTTGGCTAATGCATGTCAGTCACTTGCTCTGGTCCACACTCAATACTTTACAGTGAGTGAGTGAGTGAGTATGGTTTTACGCAATATTCCAGCAATATCACGGCGGGGGACACCAGAAATGGGCTTCACACATTGTGCCCATGTGGGGAATCGAACTCGGGTCTTCTGCATGATGAGCCAACGCTTTAACCACTAGGCTACCCCACCGCCCCCAATACTTTACAGACCACTGTCACATGGTTGAATGTTGCTGATGCCACAGAAGTTATTGGGAGTACACTTTATCAGTAAGATATAGATCCTTTGTGGGTTGAATCCATTTTGGGATTCACAGCTTCCACAAAACTGGACATCTGACAACAGGTAGTCTAGCTCACATATCTTGTGTACCCCCTTGACAAGTGCAAATAGGCATGTATATTGATAGCTTCACACAGGTACAACACCTATTGCCATTATCTCTGATATGTCATTAGGCTAACTTTTAGTCCCAGAAAATAACCAGGTATAATTTATAAAAATGTATATGTACAGAATATAATCAGGTCCAGAACAATGCTTCATTTCATTTCCACACTGAGGCAATGTAGACTTTCCAAGACATTCTATACTGGTGTTGAAGTTCATTCTTGATTTACCCATGAAGATCCGGATTAGAATTGATCTTCAGTAGTGACAGTAAGTGAGTGAGTGAGTGAGTTGGGTTTAACACCGCTTTTAGCAATATTCCAGCAATATCACGGCGGGGGACAACAGAAATGGGCTTCACACATTGTACCCATGTAGGGAATCGAACCCGGTCCTTCGGCGTGACGAGCGAACGCTTTAACCACTAGGCTACCCCACCGCCCCTGGTCTTCAGTAACCCATGCTTGTTATAAGAGGTGACTAATGGGATCAGGTGGTCAGGCTCGCTGACTTGGTTGTCATATGTCATTCTATCCCAACTGCGTAGAGTGATGGGCATGCTGCTGATCACTGGATTGTCTGGTCCAGACAGCTGCTATATAGCTGGTATCTTGTTGAGTGCGGCGTTCAACAACATCCCAAAAATAAAAAAATTGTGATTTATCTCAAGGGGTTGGGAGACAAGCAACACTCATGGATATGTCACAACACCTGATTGACCCCAGCTGTTGAAACAGGATGTGTTATCAGCATGATACTAATGTTCCTATGTTGGTTAGTTGGCTGATTATACTGATGACGAGCTAATGTATAGTGCAGGGGTGGAAATAACTATAAAATTGCTAGTGTACTCCGGACTCCGGAACAGTGGAACATGTAAAATCTCTTGCCCTGATAATTTTTCCACTATACCGGCCGTTTTCTTGTTGATTTTCTTAAATAAACAACATAATTAACATTGGAAAGTCAACTGGACACTGGTACAGTGTGATATACAAATTTGCTTGCCCGACAGAATAAAACAATGGACTCGGACGTCGGGCAATGGGTTATTTCCTAGGGGTGTCGCGATACGCGAATGTATCGATACATCGATACATTTTTACTGACGATACGATACGCGATACATGCTTGCGTGTATCGATTCCTATTTTAAAACTTTATCGATTCAAATTTTTATGCTATATCCATCTCCGTCAAAGTCTTGATAGTAAAATTATACCAGACCGCTCCGATAAATAGATGTAGCTAGCTTTACTTAAAAAATAGGTTGGAAACTAACAGCTTTTCTGATTGGCTAGACTATTTTGATGGACCAGTCAGCGAACGCGTACGTTGCCGGTAAGGTAATGCTATGAAAAGGCGTGATAATTATGTATCGCGATACGTATCGTATCGTGACCTTAAAATCGTGATACGTATCGTATCGTGAGATTGGTGTATCGTGACACCTCTATTATTTCCACACCTGATAGTGGTGTTCCGATGATCGAAAATCGATCGAAAGAAGGATTAAATTGATTATCCATTGTAAAAAAACATATTTTCAATTAATCAGAATTTTGTTGTTTTAGTATATAACACTTGAATGAAGTAAAGTAAAAATTAAACTTGACAAATATTCACGAACAAACATGCACTCAACAGCGTAAAGCTATGTGCATTGTAACATATTAACCACTTTTATTGTTTAATTACAATTCCAGTGTCTTTCTTGCATGCGTGTATGTCATTGAATGTCAGTATTAGTAAGAAGGAACATTTATTAGAAAAAACCTGGGGAAAACCCTTGAAATTGGTGATAACATTAAAATGTATATACTTTGATTATAATCGATAATCGTTCACCACAGTCCTCCGATAATCGATCGTGGATTTGGTTTCCGATTCCCAGCACTACTAATGTATCAGTACAGTAGACTCTACTCCTTTGTCACTCTTTGTTGTTGTTTTGTGTATGAGTTAATCAGTGTTAATAGCTTGAACTGTGTTAAATGCTTATCATTTTCATTATAATTTTTATAGGGCCCATAAGAAGTTAACAGCACTTTGCGAGACCTTAATACTTCCGGGGACAAACAACGATTCATACCTTTTTGAGTGGTTTTATGGTTGCCAGTTGACAGTCATCCTCGATAATCTCCAGGGTATAAGTTACGATAACTTTCCACTATACCCTGGATGAATCCACGGCTTGGGGGCGATGATTTTATTACCTCCCTTGGCTGACTCTTGTATTCTCACAGTAGCCAATCAGCTAAGCCGCCGTTACAACCGAGCTTGCCAGTGTCAACAAAGATAGCGGTCGTAGTCGCGATGGTTTGTTCGCAGTGCCACTCAGATTTTGGGAGAAATAATAAAGACAAATTCACAGATCTGAAACTTTCAAAAGATATATGAAAGAACTCCTTCTACTTCTTTCAGAGTACCTCTGCATCAATGGTGTTGCCAAGTTTAAACGGTTAGATAAGTTAAGAAGCGAAAGTGAGTTGTGATTGGTACGCTCAACTTCCCAGCGTAGGCACCTAATTGGATAAAAAGCCGGCCAAGGGAGGTAATAAAATCATCGCCCCAAGCCGTGGATGCATCCAGGGTATAGTGGAGAGTGATCGTAACGTATGCCCTGGAGATTATCGAGGATGGTTGACAGTAAGGAACCAATAATCCTTGCAGGAATAACAAATTTGCGATCTAACCATCCCTAAGTTAGCCAGCTATTACGACTGTCAGCAGTAGTGACAGCCAAGCATAGTTGTATACCTAGTCCAGTCCAGTAAAGTCATATTTGTCGGACGCACAATTTGGAACCAGAACTAGTTCTTGAATATACGCTTGTCACGGAAATCTGGTTCCAGAAGTAAGCTGGGCCCCATCTCGCATATTGCAAATTGGCCGGTAATCAGCTTAGTACCGGAAGTAGTGCTTTGTGAGACCTAAGGCGCTATTGACTTCTCTGAGAGGCATTTTGAAATCTGAGTATTAAGACCGGATAACAGATATGAATGAACATATTGTTTGATAATGGTGTTAGAACAAATATACCGAAACTACACCAGTTTCATGTCATGCATATCTATTCCATCATCACTTTGCAAATCTTTACTTCTTACGAAAAATAAAAATTACAACTCCAAGAATAATATACAATTAAATTGTCAACCTTTTAAAATGATAATCATGATCATTAATCAGATGACTGCACCTAGTCTCTGCCTGCTGTAGTCTTTCTATCAGGTATTAGAACAAGCACTTCTCAGTTGTGAATGTGTAAACTGACTGACTGAGTTTGGTTTTACGCCGCATTTAGCAATATTCCAGCAACATCACAGCGGGGGACACCAGAAATGGGCTTCACACATTGTACCCATGTGGGGATTCGAACCCAGGCAGTGTTCACGAATAGTGTTTCAAAGTCACAGGACATTGGGTCCTGTAAGTTTCAGATGTTTCTCTGACCCATTGAAAATGCACAGAACCCATGGAATAAAATCATACACACATTTCAGATTAAATATTTCTTATAATTGACATTGAAATTATTAACAAACATAAGATTTATAAACAGCAAACAAGTGTCACATGAAACAACTTCAGTCAAAGTCATTGTGAAATATACAGTCAGACACTGGGGCCGGCAGGTTGTAGACTTCTGTCTGGCCGTTGGCGAATCTGCCGGATTTGTCAGAGGGTCAGACGCTATTCGTGAACACTGCCCAGGTCTTTGGCGTGACGAGCCTACGCTTTAACCACTGGGCTACCCATCGCCCCGAATGTGTAAACTTTACTGTAAATTAGCAATACTGTTAACAATCCAAACATCCACTGCATATGGAATTATGTGCTTTCAAGTGGTCTGTTATTATAATAATATTGATATTAAATTACTTAACAACCTGTTTGAAGTTCTACCATTTGTGTTTCCTCACTAAACCTACCCACTCGAACAACTTCATAGAAAACCAAACTTCATAATGAGCAGCAGAATTTTTTTTTTTTTTTGACAAACTCAATGAGATTATCATTGTCAACACAGAAACAATAATATAATGTTTTGAATGAAAAATGACTTCATTCTTATTTACCGTGGGTACGTTTTCTCATGGGTTTGTATTTCCATATGAACCAACTTCACAAAATGGCGTCTCGTTGTTGATACATTCAAACAGTGATCTTTGGGCTATGAAAAAGAAAACAAACACAGGTTTCTAGAATAATGATCAGTATGATCTTTATTAGATACTATTTTCACCAAACATACTTACGTTTTACATCCAACTGCCAGATGAATTGTGGTGTGAGCTTGCCATCGCGTGGGGTCGGCTTATGTACGTTTTACATCCAACTGCCAGATGTATTGTGGTGTGAGCTGGCCACGACTCATCTCGGGGGGTCGGCTTATGTGCGAAACATACCATTTTGACACTGATTTCAAGGGTCAAGTTAGGGGGTCGGCTTATCTACGGTAATATACGGTATGTTAGTTATCCAAAATATGTAAGCTATGAAATAGAATAAAAATGGTTGTCAATTATTTGGGTCAGTTTGAAAATCCGTGATCTTGAACAAGATGAAGACTATATTCAATGTGTAATTCTATGATGCATAGTGAGACTTGTTGTTGGTTCTGGGATCTTGTTTTCTGATCTTTGCGGAATAGTTTCTTTGATCCTGTGTATGTTCGAATGTATCTCTGTTTCAGAAACCAATATAAGAACCACCATCTATCAGCATGGCATGTAGAGACTGGTTGTTGTTAGTGGGATCTTGTTGTCTGATCCTTGCTGCACAGGTGAATACTCAAACAACAGCAATATCTTCAACAACACCACGTGCAACAACATCAGAGTCACAAGGAGCATCAGAGAAACCAACCACACCAGGAAATACGTCGTCTACAAAACCAACCACACCAGGAGATACGTCGTCTACAATTCAGTCCACTACAACACAAGCAGCAGCATCACCACCAACAGCATCACAAGCAACACCAGCAACAACACCAGCATCAACACCAGCATCAACACCAGCATCAACACCAGCATCACCAGCAACACCAGCATCAACACCAGCATCAACACCAGCATCACCAGCAACACCAACATCAACAACAGCATCAACAGCAACAACACCAGCATCAACAGCAACACCAGCATCACCAGCATCAACAACAGCATCAACAGCAACAACACCAGCATCAACAGCAACAACAGCATCAACAACAACACCACCAGCAACAACACCATCTCAAAGTTCCACAAAATTGACACCCACTACCAATGGCTCCAGCATCTCACCAAATGACACTAATAGCACTGAGGTCACACCACAAACATCTTCAAATCCTTCCCCTGTCACAGTCCCTGAAGCAACTACTCCTTCCTCCACGGTTGCCACAGTGTCACAAGGCAGTACAGGAGCACAATCTGCTTCAAAGCCATCAACAACTACTGTTTCCCATGCATCATCTACTGTTTTGCCGAAGACGCCAAATCTGGTGATAAATGAGTTTTCCTACAACGACCTCTTCTCCAATGGTAGCTCCTTTTATATAGAAGTTAAAAGTAAGTATTTTTTCAATTTCCATTTCTAACATTTTGCAAAACTGTTGCTTGTAGTGTCAATGCCAACATTTAACCTTAGCTACAGTCAGTCTGTGCAGTAGCACAGTGGTTTAAGTGTTGGGGTTCGAATCCCAAAATGGGTGCAATGTGTGAAGACACCCCCCAACCCCCTTCACCACACTCATTCCCTCACTCACTACTGTCACTCTTTAGCTGGTGACACATGAAGGTCCGGGTTAGAATGAACCTTCAGTAACCCATGCTTGTCGTAAGAGGCGACTAACGGGATCGGGTGGTCAGGCTCGCTGGCTTGGTTGACACATGTCATTGGTTCCCAAATGAGCAGATCGATGCTCCTGCTGTTGATCACTGGATTGTCTGGTCAAGATTCCATTATTACAGACCACCGCCATATAGCTGGAATATTGCTGAGTGCGGCGTAAAACTAAACTCACTCACTCACTCACTTTAGCTGGTGATTCCTTGAAGTAACCATGGTTTAACTCCTGAAACAGAAGGATATTGGAACATTTCATGGCCATCAATTTGCAATCTATTGTATTTGCTGACAATACTCACCATACTGCACAATTTGTTTGCTTTTTTATGTCGCTTGAATATTGCTAAAAGCGGCGTAAAACTAAAGGCAACGCTTCTCAACACTGGCAAACATGTTCAGTCTGTATGTATGCAGGATTTTTTCTTTTTGAATAAAAAGCAGTATGCATGCACAGTGTCATATGTTACTCATATGGAGTAACACCAATCCTGAAACTTAATAGTCCATTTTTTTCTATTACAAGAGCCATAACCATGATCACTAACAGGAAGTATTTGTTAATATGATATTGTAGCTGTAGTTACCATGGTTACACCACAAAAAGGTTTATTGTGCAGTGTGGTGAGGATTGTTAATAAATACAATAGTTTGAAAATTGATGGCCATGAAATAATCAAATATTCTACTATTCTATGAGGTAAAACCAGGGTTACTCTCAGAAAGCACCAGCTAAAGTAAAACTAGAGTGAGTGAGTGAGTGAGGGTTTAGCAATATCCCAGCTATAGCATGGCACGGGACACCAGAAATGGGTTTCACAATTTGTACCCATATGGAGAATCCAACCCGGGTCATCAGCACAATGAGTGAATGCTTTAACCACTAGGCTAACAGACTCAATGTTGAGAACCCACATCCCTATTTCCAATCACCATGTTAATGAACCAACAAGCTGTAGATCCTGGCAGCAAAGGGACTGTACTCTGCACAACAAGATTTTTCACTAGGTCATTGGTGATGAATTTAACAACATGGTTCCAGTGTGCCTGGATTATAAAATAAAAAATACCCAAAAATGCCATTCACTATTAAGAAATTCACTTTTATTAGATTTTAGATACATTTTCAAAAAGTGAATTGCAATATTTGATTAACAGTGCTACCTTTTGTGTGAATTTGTGGAGCTGATTTCCCTTATCTGTAGAGGCATGACGATACGGAAATGTCATGATACGATATGTATCGCGATATCTTGAAACAATACGATTCGATTCGATGCATATCACGATATGCTATCTTGAGTTATTTTCTTTAAAAAAAAGTATATTTTTATAGCAAGTAACTGTGTGAATTTTAACATAACCGTCAATTTCTAGTGAACATTAACAATTTTAAGGTCACCGATCATATCACGATTTGAACAAAAGTATCGATATATTTATCGTCAGATAGAGTATCAGGATTATCGATATTACGATATATCGTCACAGCTCTACTTATCTGGAAGGATTTTAGAAATGTAGAATACATGTATATCATTTAGCGCATTGTTACCATGGTTACCTGAAGAAAATCTTTGTCTTAACTCACAATTACCATTGTTGCATAAAGTGATTTTTTTTAAACGTGAAAGAAACTTGAGGTCATTTTAGTGTTTCTCCTTCAGGTGTGGATGGCGAAGCTGCTCCAAAAATGGTGGTCATGGTGTCTGATCTGAAAATGACCTGTATTGCTGTAGTCCAGATAGATTCTGTTGCTTGGAAGGACAACCTGGCGTATAAAACAGCAACTCTGGTAAGGTTCTCATTGTGCGTCAGATCATATAACAACGTATGGTATGGATTTCCAACTTCTTTATTATTTACAACAAAATATTTCTGGGCTACTTCTTGCCCCTTCATCAGGTGAAAATACATAATACGTTGTTATGTTACCTTCCAACTTCTAACATGCTTGTTGTATGAGGCGACTCACAGGATTGGGTGGTCAGGCTTGCTGGCTTGGTTGACATGTCATCGGTTCCCAGTTGTGTGGATCGATGCTCATGCTGTTGATCCCTGGATTGTCTGGTCCAGATGCTATTATTTACAGCTGGAATATTGCTGAGTGCGGCATAAAACTAAACTCACTCACTCACTCCAACTTCTAAATGCCCATCAAGCATCTGGTGAGTGAGATCAGTTGACAGTTACTAAAACACAGAGTATCTTAGATTAATGGCTGCTGTGTCTGTGTGACTTGTCGCTTATGGCATTCTTTTATTGCATTAGCCCAGAGTGTCGTACAAAAAGATCTTAGCGTTTAGGTGACCATAATTCCATACCTAAACATAGACTTTAAGGTAGTCTCAGCGCCACCCATACCAGTAGAAGCAGCCTCTCTCCGTCTCCCCTGCTCCCCTTGCTATAGAGAGTTCAGGGCTCGATTTAGTGCTTTGATACTTGCACTGGTGCAATCCAGTATCACAAAGTGCAACCTAGTTATCAGAAGTAGAAGTAATTCAACCAAGTTACGAGAATTATATCAACAATAAATCTAACATTATTAGCATAAATATGTCAATTTATATTTCTTCTAAACTTTGAATAGCTATGGCATCAAAACATTGCTATTTATAGACACCTCTTGGCTATGACAGCTCAAGTCAACAGGAACCAGCTGTGTCTCTGTGTTGCTATGGTTTCATGGGTACAACATCACGAAAATATGTTTATGTGCACCGAAACCTCTGACGTTTTAGCACACGACGTTGCAACTGGAATTTGGCTGGTGCAACTAGGTTTTTATCTTAGGTTGCATCTTAAATCGAGCCCTGCTGTTAAACACTGTACAAATTATGGACTAGCTGAGTCACCTGATGAATAGCGGACTAGTGGAGTCACCTGATGAAGGTACCGGATGAATAGTGGACTAGTGGAGTTACCTGATGAATAGTGGACTAGTTGTGTTACCGGATGAATAGTGGACTAGTGGAGTTACCTGATGAATAGTGGACTAGTTGGGTTACCTGATGAATAGTGGACTAGTGGAGTTACCTGATGAATAGTGGACTAGTTGTGTTACCGGATGAATAGTGGACTAGTTACCTGATGAACCTGATGAATAGTGGACACCTGATGAATAGTGGACTAGCTGGAGTCACCTGATGAATGCCTGATGAATAGTGGACTAGTTGTGTTACCGGATGAATAGTGGACTAGTGGGTAAACCTGATGAATAATGGACTAGTGGAATTACCTGATGAATAGTGGAGTCACCTGATGAATAGTGGACTAGTGGAGTTACCTGATGAATAGTGGACTAGTGAATAGGGACTAGTTGTGTTACGGATGAATAGTGGACTAGGTACCTGATGAATAGTGGACTAGTTGTGTTACCGGATGAATAGTGGACTAGTGGAGTTACCTGATGAATAGTGGACTAGTGGGGTTGCCTGATGAATAGTGGAGTTGTGTTACTGGATGAATAGTGGACTAGTGGGTAAACCCTGATGAATTGGTGTTACCGGAATAGTGGACTAGTTGTGTTACTGATGATGAATAGTGGACTAGTACCTGATGAATAGTGGACTAGTTGCCTGATGAATAGTGGACTAGTTGAGTAATACCTGATGAATAGTGGACTGAAGACTAGTGGAGTTGCCTGATTACCGGATGAATAGTGGACTAGTGGAGTTACCTGATGAATAGTCGACTAGTGGGGTTGCCTGATGAATAGTGGACTAGTTGTGTTACTGGATGAATAGTGGACTAGTGGGTAAACCTGATGAATAATGGACTAGTGGAATTACCTGATGAATAGTGGAGTCACCTGATGAATAGTGGACTAGTGGAGTTACCTGATGAATAGTGGACTAGTGGAGTTACCTGATGAATAGTGAACTAGTTGTGTTACCGGATGAATAGTGGACTAGTGGAGTTACCTGATGAATAATGGACTAGTGGGGTTGCCTGATGAATAGTGGACTAGTTGTGTTACCGGATGAATAGTGGACTAGTGGGTTACCTGATGAATAGTGGACTAGTGGAGTTACCTGATGAATAGTGGACTAGTGGAATTACCTGATGATGGACTAGTGGGGTTGCCACCTGATGAATAGTGGACTAGTGGAGTTACCTGATGAATAGTGGACTAGTGGGTTACCTGATGAATAGTGGACTGGAGTGGAGTTACCTGATGAATAGTGGACTAGTGATGAATAGTGGACTTGGAGTTACCCTGATGAATAGTGGACTAGTGGGGTACCTGATGAATAGTGGACTAGTTGTGTTACCGGATGAATAGTGGACTAGTTGAGTTACCGGATGAGTAGTGGACTAGTTGAGTTACCTGATGAATAGTGGACTTCATGGGTTACCTGATGAATAGTGGACTAGTTGTGTTACCTGATGAATAGTGGACTAGTGAGGGTACCTGATGAATGGTAGACTCGTGGAATTACCTGATGAATAGTGGAGTCACCTGATGAATAGTGGACTAGTGGAGTTACCTGATGAAGGTACCTGATGAATAGTGGGGTTACCGGATGAATAGTGGACTAGTGGGTTACCTGATGAATAGTGGACTAGTGGAGTTACCTGATGAATAGTGGGGTTGCCTGATGAATAGTGGACTAGTGGTTTACCTGATGAATAGTGGACTAGTGGAGTTACCTGATGAATAGTGGACTAGAGTGGTTACTTGTTCAATTGTGGACAAGTTGTATTATGTAATGGGTTGTCTGGTAAAGTTAGATTAGGCTACTATCCTTTGATATCATGATCAAAGGTTTTCTTTTTAGACACCAGCAAACAGAAGATCAGTGATAGTGTCCCTCTACACTGCCGTCAACTGGACAAGCTGCACTGATGTCAAGATCGCCGATGCTGCTGCAGTAGACGCTACCATTGTCAGCCAAGACCCAGTCACGACAATTAATTCAAGCATACCATTTGTGCCTGACTATTTGTCAAGAATACTCATTGCCGCGGTCAACAAAAGGTATTTGGCATTTGATGTATTAAACTTTCAGCAGAAGTTAATAATACAGTGCTAGTTTTTTGTTGAATCTCCATGGTGATTCTGGACAAGATGTCCCTTGTATCCAGTGCTTGATGCATTCCTAATAATCATTGTTCTTATGCTGAAACATTGCTCAATGGGACATAACATTGCATTAATTCATTCAAACCTTTTAATTTAATATTGTAATCTAAATGCGAAAAAAAATGTGGAATATATTATATGGTATCTTCCCTGAGGGTTGATAGTATGCAGAAATGCATTATTTATTTTTAGAGAAGTGTGATGTGATATAGTGTCTCTAAGGAAACCAGTGATGCATCATGATCAACATCATTGTAATTGTTAAGATCACACCTGTATTTATTTGAACACTTCAGCAGCACAGGGCAAGTCGGTGTTTCTGTTGTCCGTTGTGATGACACACACCTGGACCCGGGCTCATTCATCATAGCTTCCTCCACATTCAACCAATCAAACAACTGTGACCTTGACCCTGCAACTACACTCAAGACAATCACCTTGAACTACACAGCCTGCAACACGTGGAAGAGTGATACCACCAGGAAGCTGATCAATTACTTTGTTGAAAAAGTTGGCAAGAAATTTCAGTGTGGCTTCTCTCCTGTATATGTACAAAATGGTGAGTGATTTTCTTTGACCAACGATCTGCTTGGACCAGTGGCCAGAGTGTTTGTCTTGTTTGTGTTGTTTCAAAAGATAGTGCTTTTATCAGGTGCATTCGGCATTAGGGATAACACAACAATTATATCTGTGCAAGAAATCGGAGTCGATTTTGAAAAAAATGCAGTATTTCTTATCAAGTTGGTGCCTTTGGATTGTTTGAGATATTTTCAAAATTGTATTTAACTTTTTGTCCTGTTTTATCTTCCAGCTACGATTAACTGCACAAAGGGGACCACCATGCAGTGGTACATCCCTGGGAAGTTTGAGACACAGTATGACAATGTTGTCAATGATACGACCTGCATGAACAACGTAACACTGGGGGAGCTGTGTCTTGTTAGCGCATGTCGTAACTGCATCATCGCAACAAAGACTTCCCCGAAGAAAGGTGAGTCAGCAACTACGGAAACTGTGTGACGATTTAATGATGATACTTTTTCACTCACATTTATATCATACTTGTACAAAAATGTAGTTTAATGCTGCCACTATGGTGCCATGTTGGCCACATTCTCCATTGTGTAAGATGGATGTTATTTATTATGAGAGAATAACTGTGACAAACATTGTTTCTGTCAGTAGGAACTATCTGGAGAGGTAATTACTGTACACCTTAGGGCTGGGATGGGTGTGGTGGGTTCTGAGTAGAACTCAGGTCAACATAGGGCTGCCCCAACCATTAAGGCTGGGATTGCTAAGCTGGGTGTGGTGGGGCAGCCTAGTGGTTATGGAATTAGCTCACATGGGTACACTGGTGTCCCCACATTGATATTGCTGGATTATTGCTAATAAATATATGAAAGGAACTTCAATTCACTCACTCACTCCCAGGTTTGATTCACTCACATGAAAAGGTACACAATAGACAATGAAATGTGAAGCCCATTTGCAGGTGGTGTCCCCCATGAGCACACACTGATATTGCTGGGGAATATTGCTTGATTATTTCTCAGCCCATTTATTATTGATTTCTTGCAGGTGACATAAACTATGGCATGCACGACTCACTCGCCATTTTGGGAGAAAATATACACAATAGACAAATATTTAGAAATGAAGGAAAGCTTGATTATTTCTCAGCCCATTTATTATTGATTATTGATTTCTTGCAGGTGACATAAGTCACTCACTCACTCACAGGCACTCACCACCGCCATTTTGGGAGAAAAGTTGGGAACACAAAGAAAAGAAATGTGAAGGAAGAGCTTGATTATTTCAGCCCATTTATTATTGATTAATTTCTTAGACAAGTCACTCACCATTTAGAAATTTTGGGAGAAAAGTTGGAAGGACAAGAGTATTTAGAAATGTTTGAAGGAAGAGCTTGATTATTTCTCAGCCCATTTATTATTGATTATTGATTTCTTGCAGGTGACATAAGTGTGACAGTTGGTGTTGTGATTGCCTGCATCGTTATCTTCCTCGTCATCGTTGCCATAGTGATCTTGTACATCCGCAAGAAGCGCCGAGGAATATTGTAAGTTGATCTTTTGTACATGTAAACAGTAGATAAAATAATCAAAGTTTTTGTAATAACATGACTTTTTGTATGTAACTTCAGTCTGTTTTCAAGATTCATCTCATTATCAGGGAATTGTGGGAGGTTGGGATGGCTTCTATGTGGGAGGTTGTCTGATGTCTATGTTCTGGAGGAGTACCTCTTCATATTTAGAGAAATATCAATGACTTACAAGAAATTACAGATTATTTGTCTGTAAAGTTTGTTGTTTAACGCCACACTCAGCAAGATTCCAGCCTATGGCGGCAGTGTGTAAGTAATCGAGTCAGGACCAGACAATCCATTGATCAACAGCATGAGCATCGATCCAATTGCATAGATCGATGCTCATGCTGTTGATCACTGGATTGTCTGGACAAGAAGCAATTATTTACAATCAGCTGTCATATAGCATGAACAACAAACTAACAATACAACAATGTCTGGAAACATTTATGATATCCTCTGTTCCAGGCAATTCCGTATGACCAGACTGGACGATGACGACGATGACCTGATAATGTCTAATGACACCGATGACTTTGTAGGTGGTCAGGAAGCTAGCTTCAGTAACTCCAGCTACACCCGATTCAAGTAACCACAAACCTCACGTGTATGTCCTAGAACACTGCCCCGGTCATGTGCAGTCAAGGGAGATAAATTGACTGACAGTGTCGAATTGTGTGACATGAAGTTACCATCTCACTTGAATACGTGAACCAATTCCTTTTTAGCAAACACCAAGCCTTCTTTTGGTGATTTTAGCAGTAAATGAGTGCTTGAATGAATGTTCGGATGGTCATTTTGTACACTTGTAAGTTTGTTGTAGCAGAACAATTGTTTTCGTGTTCAGAATATTGATGTTTAGCAAATTGATGGGATATTTTATGCACGAGAGGATTATGATAGTTCTCATATCATAATTGAATAAAGTGCACACAAACTACTTATTCTACTTAAAATGGTGTGTAATGTATGAATATTGAAATTTTTCAATATGTTTCTATGATTCTATGAAACTACTTAAAACTGTGATTGACATATGTTCTAGTGCTTTTTGCTATGTTATTTTCTGATTCTCACAAACCAACTCTAGTTAAAACTGTAACATTTAATTTGTAGTATTTTTAAGTATGTTTCTCTTGTTCTCATAAACCAGAACTACTTAAAGTGTGATCAAGTTTTATATTTAAGAGCCTTGTAGCCGTCTCTCTGTTTAGAGGCTTTGATATTAAATTTATTGTGTTTTTCAGTGAGATGGTTGTGTATTCAGAGCATGGAATCCTTACCATAACACCAATGCTTACAGGCAGTTGTTTCACCAACTCAACATATAGATCATAAACTTTGAGATTTTCAAGACCAGAAAGATTTTTATTGGGCAGTGGAAAATCTCTGCAATGTGTCTCATTGGTTTGTTTATGACTCACCTGCCCAATGAATGCCTGGCATTGATAGCATGGATTTTAGGAGATGTGGTTTGTAGAAACTACAATCCGTCCATCTGGTAATCTGTGTGGTCATCTGTATGTGTAGGGCTGAAGCCAATCTATGAATATGATACATATCATAAATATGGGGTAATAGATTTGAATTTAGGGGAACGAATACTATAACAAGTTAGCAGTCGATGTGTTATTCATTATACTAATGAAACAATAGCAAAATACATTCTTTGACTTGTTTTGACCATGTTAATTCATCACAACAATGAAGAGTGACGACATAAGTGTCAAATTAAACATACAAGTGTCAACAATTATCCTGCTGGCTTGGATATATTCCAATTTACATTTTTTGTTGTGATAAAAGAAACACACTTAAGTAATCATGAATATTTTATTCTAGTGATCGTGAATAACGAATTGAATTCATGAAGGTATATGGATCAATTCACCAAATATGCGAGTGAATTGTAAATGCAATACTGTATGTGTATGGCTATTTAGAGCATTTTGGGATATATTTGCAGAAAATTAAACATTTTGAAAATTAAAATAATGATCTAGTGAGATATGCACTGTTTAAAAAATTTCCTGAAAACTACAGTTGAATATGTGCATGGCTCCTTTGTCATTACACTTTTGTTGGTTGTATTTGTTTTCACTTATTTTGATGTTATTGAAGCTTTTACGAACTGTTTAGGCCAGACCCATTTTATTTTTTGTTTTACGGATCTGTCTGTCATATTTTTTCAAGAATAAGAAAGAAATAAAATTGATTTTCCACGATCAAAAATATAAATCCTAATGTTTTTATCAGCCAAAAATGTAAACATACAATAAATTTTGTTTTTAGATTGTTTTTTGCCCGAAATACACTTCATGAATTGCCCAAAGTGACAAACTTTGAGTATTTAGAAGGAATATTACTTGACTGGTGATTTATATTTTTTTTTTATTTCCCTCCTACCTGTAGGTTTACTGAGGACAAACATTAAAAAAAGCAAGAAATAAAATTGGTCTGGCCTTAAAGAAAAATATTTGAAGAGAATGTGATATTTGCTTTGTTAGTGAGTAACATTCAGTCATTTCTCAGAGTGATTTGAATTTGAATGTGCAATACATGTATTTGTAATAAGATAATATTGCTCGATTATTACCTATTGATGTTGACGTAACTCTGTGGTAAATCTGTTGTATGTTGTACGAGAGGAACCAGGATGTTATACACTGACATAGGTCTGTGTACTCAATCTTAAAATCAGATCATCATGCTTGTTACAGCTAAAATACCATCATGGCAGGAGTGGGTGCATACACTTCAGTTGTCTTGGTTCTTTAATTGATAGACTGTATCAGAAAGAAGACAGACTTACAGTAATTTTAGTCGTAGTCACGCTGAAGGCCCGGGTTTTATTCACCACATGGGTACAATGTGTGAAGCCCATTTCCGGTGTCCCCCGCCGTGATATTGCTGGAATATTGCTAAAAGCGGCATAAAACAAAACTCGCTAACTCACTACAGCAATTTTAGACTGCAGTACAGACAGCTCATGAATCTTTTAAAGAAATTGCAGGAATCACATCGTCATGGTTATGGCTCCTTCATGTGTGGAGATTCAGTGCTGTTGATGCTGTAAGATGTCAGTAAAATACATGTGTTTTCAGGCTTACTGGGGGTGTCATGATTCAATAATGTATCCCAAGTTTATGTCTCAACTCAATGGATTATACATCAACCAAGGTGTCATATCTTGTCACATTTTGGGTTAAATTAGTTCAGATTTGCGCTTATCTAGCTTTAATCTTTGATGAAGCTGATCCTTGGTTTGAAGTTACTGCCAAACATTTATAAAATTATTGTTTTGATTTCACAATGCTTTGAGAACAAAACTAAATTAGCCAGTGATGTGAACTGAAATATTTGTTGAAAGCAGCAACCATATTAGCTAGGCCAAAATTCCAAATTGAATATAACAATACATATCTTATCTTTTCCGTTTCTCGATAGGTACTGATTGATGGGATTGGTGAATTGTGACACCTCTGAATAGTAGGAGGGCTGTTTGGTTGCAAGTCTTATAAAACTGTGACATTAATGGAAAGTGTCAATTGATAGCACAAAAGCAACATGGGTTGTAGATATGGTTGTGTTCAATCCAGGTAAATGCATGTATATAGAACTTATGCTGTACATAATGTCATCAGTGAGAGTAGGTTACCATAGTTTTATATTTATTACAAATGTTTTGTCTGTGAAACATTATACAATGACGACTGTAATAACTCCATATTGCTGATTTGCCACAAACATTTGAAGAAACGAGAATCTTTTAACTGCTTAGATACTGCTTGTTGATAGATGTGGTAGACATGGTGCAGCTGAGAAGTGTGAATATTTTATGTAAATTGCTCAAATAATATAATGAATGTGTTATTTTTTCCCTTTATTTCGTATTTTGTTAATTTGAATGTCATTATTTCTTTTGACTTTACATATCTAATGAATTGGTGCAATTAGATTTTTATTTGCTTAAAATTTGTGTTCCACTGGTATGAGTGTTTTTGAGGGTTGAAAACTTATAGAGGGAGGGGGCAGTCTAAGGTGCCCAAATTGTGAGAATTGTGTCACTGAGATGTGACAGAATCTTATCGAAAACCCAAATTTGCCCAGATTTTGTTTGTAGTTTTGTCTGCACCATATCCATGGGACCTTCCCAAAGTGGTGAATGTGTAAAGCCTGAGTCACTTCTCCCTACTTGTACAAGGTGTCATGCTGTGATATAACTGAAATAACATTCAAAGTGTCTAACTCACTCACTCCAAGTTAATAGACAATAGTTTTCCAGTATTTTGCCGGGTAGGTTAACATATCCTGTGTCTGTGTATGACATGCCTACCTTTCATTGCTACATGTATTGTAGGCATGTACCTAGACTTGAAATTTTTCTTCCATTTCTAGGGCAGTGGGGTAGCCCAGTGGTTAAAGCGTTCGCTTGTCACACCAAAGACCTGGGTTGGATTCCCAACATGGGTGATGAGTGAAGCCCATTTCTGGCATCCCCTGCCGTGATATTGCTGGAATATTGCTAAAAGCGGCATAAAACCATACTCACTCACTCACTCTTCTATTTATATTTCTAAATTTTAGAATTGATATCACCTCGTTGCTGATATCGCTGTAGTTGCTGATATCACCTCGTTGCTGATATCGCTGTAGTTGCTGATATCGCTGTAGTTGCTGTTATTGATTCCTTCAGTTTGATGTACTATGCTTACTGCTGACCGCTCTCATGTCATCCTCATCATCGTCTAGCATCATCAGTAGCTGCTGTAGGTCAGCAAGGTAGATCTCCAGAATGAAGCAAGGATCAATGCAATATTCTCAACTACAGTAAACATGTACAGTTTGTGATCTGTTGGTAAATCTCTCCCAGATGTGGATTGAGGAGATGACCATTTTATAGTCCTGGTGTGAGGCTGGGAGTTGTCAGACACCAAATACTTGTTCAGTAACTATTTCAAATCATAGGATTATGTTTCCTCTGACGGGCTAAACTGAACAATTATTTTCTTTTTTCTCAACATCCGTTTTGTTTTTCAGGACATGAATATGTCCAGTTGTACAGTAACCATAGCAATTGTTGACATAACCCTTCCAATACATTGTTTGCTGTTTTCATAGTAAACACAGCATACTTAGAACAAGAGTTACGCATTGACAAAAAACAACCCGATACTGTACACTGTTTAAACGAACATATTTCTGGGATCCCACCATAATGTGACTTGAATATTGCAAAGTAAATTTACAACCTTGGAGATTTTCTGTCATGAATGTATGAATGACCCAAATTGGATCCTCTAATTTAAGGTGTGCCTGTCATGTTTCAAGAGAAGCATGTATGTTGTGGGGAAGGGAGCAAGCACTCACGTATTAAACTGTACATATGAATGGTTCTGATATAATATTTAGCTATTCGTTATTTGATATTAGTGTTCATTCCATTGTTTAATTATCATGATTCCTGGAGAGGAGACGGTGACTGGAAGTGCTAGGTGTTCTAATGTCCTTGAGCATTGCGTGCTGCTGCTGAATAATCAATCTGTTGTTTGTGGAAGGATCAGTTGTTGTTCTCGTAATGTCTTTATGCTGTTAGGTTGTTTTTTTATTGGAAATAATACCAGAATTTCAAAACAAAGTTTGCATTTTAACATAATGCATTGATGTTCAGAGACCAGAATATGATAAGGAGCTTTCAAATTCATGTTGATCGTTCCTATGGTTACGTTGCTAATTGCCAGGCTCCTTTCCCTTCCCAGGATTCCCCACATAAAGCGTTTTGTCGTATCAGGAATGTTCAGTGTGCATGGGTTTTGTACAGGCCTCGGGAGCAGCATCTGAGTCTGCAGAGTTACATCCCCTGATATGCCGTGATTCGTTGATATGTTCTCCGTGATTCATTGATGTGTTCTACCTGGTCACTTTGTTCTGACTTCCTATGTTAGTTTTAAAAATCTTTGATACAATAATGTAGTGTTTAAAGTGGTCTCAGACCATGAACATCACAACCAGGGCACTGTGGTACAATGCGATTGTAGCGTTGAGGTGATCATAATTCCCATACCTTAACATAGACTTACAACAGTCGTGGTTGCTTCATACAGTGGCACCCAAGTTACTATCAACTTGATACATTTTGACACTCTCCCTCACATCTATCAAAATGGAATGGCAACGCACCCAGGTTTTACAATGTCACCCAAGAGAAGATTATTTCACCAACACTCTCACATCCTCGTCCCTTTTCTATTTATCTCAGTGGATTTAGATCAGTTATTACCTTCAATTGATAACTTATTTGTAAATTGATTTCATTTATTATGTCATATATCATAAAATGGCTTTTCATTAGAGGCTGTAAGATACGGAGCTTAAAGAAAGGAAACGTCTGACCCAGTTTTAGCTGCTCGGTTCCAAGGGAGCATGGTTCATTTTAAGCCTTTATGTACTATTGGTAAATATCAACAGTAGCTTGTGGAGAATGGGGGCGGTGGGGTAGCCTAGTGGGTTAAGCGTTGGCTCATCATGCCATAGACCCAGGGTTCGAATCCCCACATGGGCACAATGTGTGAAGCCCATTTCTGGTGTCCCCCGCCATGATGTTGCTGGAATATTGCTAAAAGCGGCGTAAAACCAAACTCACTCAGTCAGTCAGTTGTGGAGAATGTATTTGTTCTGAGTGATATGCCTCTCAGTACCATATGAACTGTACCTTATAAGGAACATCTCTATCTGAGAAAAATACACTTAGTGATATGTCTTTTATGACCATGTGTACCAATCAATAGAACTTTGTGGAGAACATCCCTATGAGTGGTAGGTAGATGAACCCCTTTCGTATTTGCCTCAGTAGATATTTCAGTATTATGATGATTTTACAATAAATAATGTTTTTAATTTATGACATACAAAAATAATTTAGCGATCCCTCAGGTGTATGAATGACAAAGAATGCACTCAGTCTGCTGAGACCTCAAAATTGAATTTTCGATGATTGTTTGAGCGATTGATGCAGTTTGTCCTTCAACCACCCACCTAGTTACCTCCCTTTACATCTCCTAACCCTTGTTCAGTATGCCCAAAAAGCCATTTTGACATGTATTCCCTTTTTGACTTATCTTATTGTTGTGTGATGTATATGTACATGCTGTCAGTGTCATGTACTGTTATAGACATGATTGAAGGTTACCTCCTGGTTGGAGGTTGATGATGTATTTTACAGAAATCAAAGCGACCGTTTTCACTTATTCATTCAATATACCTATTATCAGTCCACAAATTATATAAAACCTGTATTCTTATATTTGTAATCTGATATTTATGTAAATGTTTTATCATGTTGAAAATTGTTCTTTTTCTCTATATATCTTACAAGTATATACATCAATATCTTGCCTTTAACTAACGATGACTATTTCAGTGCTTACGTAATGTTGAGTAGTGTATATTAACTTTATTGCAAATATTTCCACAAATCACATCATTGTAAGCTAGGAGTATTCAACTTGTGACAGTCATGTAAGATGGTTCCCTATGCTCATGGGTTCGAATCCCAGTTTGCCCTGATTGTGTTTTAAGGTTTACCAGGACCATGTGTATACACTTTGGATTCAATTAAATGGTGGATGGGTAAAACCAGCATCACCTCCCAACATTTAGGTGAAGCACCATGTTATAACTGAAATTTTCTTGAAAGCATCATGAAAGCCAACTCACCCACCCACTCACTGCTTTTTTGGTAAAGACCTGTAAAGATCCGGGTTAGAGTTGATCTTCAGTAACCCATGCTTGTCGTAAGAGGCGACAGGATCGGGGAGTCAGGCTGGCTGACTTGGTTGACTAAGTCATCGTATCCCAATTGCGTAGATCAATGTTCTTCCTGTTGATCACTAGATTGTCTGGTCCAGACTCGATTATTTAAAGACAACCACCATATAGCTAGAGTACTGCTGAGTGCGGTGTATATCTAAACCCACTCACTTTTTGGGTGAAGCCATTTTATTGTCAAATTTTGATATCAATCAAGGGAGGTAACTCTAACAGACAGATCAGTGCTTGGAGTTAGTATTTTACTGTACATACATATTTTGATTAACTGGTAGTTTGTTATGTTTAGCGTACATTAAGGACAAAATGCTCATGCTATCCTAATCCATCTTTCTTTTTACCACATACAGATATTGCATCGGATGTATATCGACATTGGGTGTTGGAAATCATATCTTTATGTAATCAAGAATTTGCTAGGTTAGCTGAGAATTGCTTTTTATGATAAGAAAAAGTTCAAATGTTTGCATGACCATAAAATTTGGCAATTTACAAAAGATAAATGTTGTTGCTGTCAGTAAGATCTGACTGACGTGAAGATCTACGTGTCTGTATTTCCATTGCTCATACTGTTTGTTCAAATTGATTCTTAGCAGCTAGCCTTGACAGAAGGCAAGGAGTTTTTTTAGAAACTCAATATTTTTAATTTCATTCTAAAGTCTTCTTGTTAAGCATATCATGTGTACATATTTTTTGATGGATGTAATTACATTGTATCAGTATCTACAAATTATTCAAATCTTTTATCATCCCGATGTGTTGAGAATCCAATCAATGTCATCAAGTGTTCTAGTGTATTTGTGTCTTGATGACAGAATTGTCATGTGGTTTTCCATGTTTATGTGTTGTTATGACAACGGTGAATACTGGCGTTTATACACCAGTATTCCAGTACTGAACTGTGTGCTTGTGGTATAGGAATTGTTAGGGCCCCATTCCTCACAGATATCACAGCTCCACGTCGGTCTTACGTATATGTTGGAGGATGGACTTTATGATCATCCTGCCTCTAAAATAGTCTATATTACAGTACCTCTTCTCAGATCCTCAGTATTTGTTCTCGTTAACAGTGAAGCTACCTCTACAAAGATTAGTTACAACTATAACAGCTTCAGTTTATAACATTAGTAGTTGAGAACATTTTAATTCCAATTTGGGATGGGGCAGTTGGTAGCCGAATGGTTCAAGCATTCAGCTTGTCACCCCTGACGACCCAGGTTAAAATCACCATCTGGGTACAATGTGCAAAGCCCACTCCGGGTGTCTCCTGCCTTTATATTGCTAGAATACTGCGCCACAAAACCATACCTACTCTCTCCAATTTGGGATTTTGTACTAACATTTTGTAGCAGGATGGGGCCAGATAAACTATGTGTATAGAGATGTGTCAGTAGTATGTCTGAAAGCTTTGATGAAACAGGCCTTTTTATAGAATCTGAAGTATGTTTTTGATGCCTGACATAACGCAAGGAGACAGATCAGTTTGATAAAACTCAGCAACATCATCCAGAGATGTCCGATTCCTCAAACAAAGAACAATTCTCATGGCCATCACTTACCTGATAAAAGATAGGCTGGTCGGCGAAAATCAAAGATCAATACTACTGCTGCATACATATTATTGTAGATCAACACAAGGTACCATTTATCCCCTAAGTTCTTAATCCACCGAGTACACGCTGTCCGTTTCTGAATGTGTTTACGTAATAACATTCCAAAATCTACTATTTTATTAAGAATTTTGAAGTATCTGTGATATATGTGCTCACGTGAGGTTGTCCGTTGCTCACCCATTATAAGTATACTACTCTCAAAAAGTTAAGGAACACTGTTGTGTTCATATTACAGGTTGGCTACAGTGGTATGCTTTAACTTATGATGAGTAGTATATATCGTTGTTGACTTGCAACAAATCTCAACAGATGTGTCGTGCCAAAGTGCCTTCGTGTTGTATATACATCATGTTTCTCAATAAATATTTCTCAAATCTGTCTCGTGTTGTGTGCTTCTTGTCTGTCTTCCATGACGTGTATGATCTTTGATCTTTGGAAGAAGTATTTACATCTGGCCCCAATTTCTCGTTTTGAGTTTTTTACTCAAATTTGAGAAAACGCAAGAAAATGCATTTCCAAGAATAAACTGAAATCGAAACCCAAACATAGCAGACAATTTGAGTTTGGTGGACAAATTACTTAAGTTGTTTGGGCTTTTTTGTTTTAAAAATGCAATTGAGTTCAAACTCAGTTTGAAATTTGAGTAAAACCATGTTTGTTTGGAGAAGTCGGCGCAAGAATAGTATCTAACTTTGTAATGGTAGCCAGAGGTATAAGAAGTCATGTTCTAAATCATATATTGCTTAAAATGTCTTCTCCCAACTGGAAGAGATCTCATTCATCCAGACGTGCGAAGAAATTTGTTTAAAAGCAGCTAACACACTGGACTTTCTGGTTGATAAAACTATATTTACTTCAGGCAGAAGTGATGTCATGAGACTGGAATTGCACTTTCTCAGGACACTTTGTAATAACAGTAATGGTGGTGATAGTAGTAGCAGACACATTCTCAGCTCCCTGGGACGTCTACAAACCAAACTGCTGTGACGTAGTACTTTTCGTAAACTGGTTCCTCATAATGCTAGTTTGAAGAATGGTCCTTGCTGCTGATTCATAGGGGCAGTGGGGTAGCCTGGTGATTAAAGTGTTCACTATGCACGCCGAAGACCCGGGTCTGATTCCCCACATGGGTACAATGTGAAGCCCATTTCTGGTGTCCACCGCTGTAATATTGCTGAAAGTGGCGTAAAACTCACTCACTCACCAATTCAAGCACAACATGGGTTAACTGTAATCATGTTTATTTTATTCCGGGAGCTTACATTATACATGGTGACGTGAGAACTGGTGTATGACGGCGGTAACACCAAGAGCCACATGTGGTACGTGTGTTACCTCATCGTACAAACATGTCTTTACACTGCAGTGGCACGACCTTCAGGAATTAAAAGTATTGGTTAAAATAAGATAATAAATGATATAACAATAGCTTTTTCTCCACTGAATAAGGAATTAAAATTTTCTAAGACAAGAACAATGAGGTTAACAAGTCACATAAAAAATGACATTGTATTACAACCAAATCCAGCCATGACCTTCAGTTGGATTTAGCCGAGTGTCATCTGATTGCTGATATTTACATGTCTGGTATACTGAGGTAAAGCTATTGGATGAATAAGAAATCCACCATGAATCTTAAATCAATATACAGCACAGTTAGACAGAAATGCTAGGGCAAGGACACAGAGCACAGATTGAAATAGTTGACCAAGTTGTCTCCCTTTGTTATCACATCAGGATGTCTCACAATATCACATTTCATGAATATTATAATACATGGTTTTATTGAGAAGAAACAGAATCCTGTTCTACCAAGCGGGGTAATATGCCAGTTATATACCGCAGACACAACCCAGCAGAACGACATGATGATATGTTCCCATACACAACACCTATAGGGATTGACATTCAGTACCAAAGCCAGCAAGATATTGGCTTCAAGGGGGAGTCAGTGCATCTACTACAGTTTCCTTGTTCCTCAAGTGTTGCCTCTTTTGATTTCATTGGATTCAAAAGGAAACGTTTGTATTTGTAGCCATACAGTTTACTTTCCTATCTATGAATAATATTTAATTAATGCAAATAATTTTCTGCATACTTCCTTGATCAGTTTGATAAAATAAATATTTATGAATCAATCTGAGCAACATTGCTGAAAAAAGTTTGATTTTCTTGATAAACACTGGATCATATCACATAATATAACATGGTCACTGGCTAGTGTATGTTAACAGTGTTGGACTGTGTAACCACAAGCAATGCACTATCAGCGTTAAGTCCGACAATCTGCCTTCTCACAGGCCTACCATGATATAAAATAATTAACAGATTCCATTTCTTAAATGTTCTACTGAATAACGAAAGAATTACTTTCACCCATACCATCTGATCTCAGTTTGACTACATCTGGCATCACAGAACAGATGAAACCATGTTTAGAAACCGATCATTTATTTTTGGGGTGGGTCAAAATGGATCACGGGAGAGTCATAAAAAAAACACGACAGTCGCTAGGAGAGGTTCATAAACGATAATACAAATATTTCAGGATGTTTTTGAGGAAATGGACATTTTGTATAAAACACAAACAGCTTTTGCATTTTGTCTTTTCTGGTAAGGTCATAAAAAATGTAACAGGACAAGGATACGGACGGTCATCCGTATCCTATGACAAGCATGAGAGAGAGTTATTTTCAGTTCATCCAAAACCTGACCCTCCACCCCTGATAAATGACCGGTCACTCACTGGTTGACATAACTCCTGATGAGGTGAATCGAAATACTACTTAACTGATTAGAAGCGAGAAGAAAGTTCACAGAGAAAAAAGCTTACAGAGAATGTGTTACACATTTGGACGGTTAAAAACAGACCGTTCCACTGTAATCAACATGATCTCATATCCATCTTGACATCTCACATTGAATAAATATGTAATATTTGCAATAAACTTTATATTTACATTACAATTATATAAACTTGTGTCAATATCATAACGGCCTGCTCTATTTCATGATGAAACATCAAGTATATGAAAGGCCCCCATCAGTATTGGCTGTCAATATTGAGCAATCAGTGTTTATTTCACACCAGGAAATAAGCAAATGTGAAAGGGAAACAACACTAGTCCACAATGTCTTTCCAGAATGTTTTCAACTATATTTGACTCACTTCCTTGACAAAGTACTCATCTTGTCTAAACACAAACACTATCAATATCAGGGTCTGGCATTTTACTCAAGACGTTGATAATTCCAAAATAAACTAATGTTGCTTTAAGCTGTGTGAAGGGCTATTTCTGTAAAAGTACTGATTATTTAAATTAAAACAACCCAAAACAATCCCAAGTACACAAATAAAGCCTGTATCGAATATTCATTATAAGCTAAAAAGCTAAGGGTTTTTTCATCCTTCACATTAATACAGTTACTGTGTCATAGTGACTGATTAACTATATCGATGGGAAAGAATTGGGTATTCCAGACTTCTTTTCAGTCGACTATAAACAACAAATTAAATGAGATTTGGGACTCACATCATCATGAGGATAGAGTAGACAACAAGAAACAGTTTTAGGGCAACAGAAATGGAAAGCCACGGTCACATCACGGACCAACTTCAGAGATCTCAATGGACGTAATATACAGTGTAACGACAGGCTGGTCAGCTGCCAGTTTTTGATAGCTTCAGCCACGAGTTAGATGATCTGACTTTACATACTTTACCAACACAGTATTCCTATATGATTTTTCAGAAAAGGCAAATAATGTCAAAATTAAACTAAATAAGAAGGCCGCTGAAGATTGGATCAAGTTCAAACTGATACCCAGAACAGGCTAAAATGTCTGTTGGCTATAGTCATATAAAATCTGGAAAAAATGGCTTTAGGTAATAAAATTTAAATATACATTTAAAATATAGCACTACGACAGTGTAAATATTTAGTGTGGTACAAAGATGGGACTTGTACCCAGCACTCTTTACATAATCTCAAGCAGACGATGACACCTTAATTACAGGTGATGCACCACCTTGATTACAGGTGTTGTTACCTGCATCTAGTTTCATGTCTATTTATAAGGCAGAGAAACTCATTTAGCTATTGCTCACAGGTCTGGAGTATATCCATATATACAAACATGACATGTCGGTTTGGGCAACTGTAATAAATTCTAGCTCTAAAATTTCATCTTTTATAAATGTATAAAACATAAAAGTGCGTCCCATCAAGGAAATTAAGTAGACAGTTTTGAAGGACAGAGATCACAATAAAAATGCACATGTATTATGAAGTAAGTCGTATCAACGGATGAAAAAATTTGATTGTGCATTTCAAGTTCTTAATTTTTAAACTACTTAACGTGATAAGATAACAAATAAACAATGTGTAGATACACAAAAATATGTACATCCTGACACTGCCATTACAAAGATGGGAGACAATACCTGTTGAACAGAGACACTGAGTAGACAATGTGTTACACAATGTCCAGAGTAGGAGTTTGTTTTCTATACATTATACTTCTAAAACCTCCAATTCCCTTAAAAGATGTGCCAGTCAGGAAATAAATGAGCAATCAATTTTATATTCTGATAAAATATATTAAAAAATTAAAAAATATTCTTTCCCCAGAAACTGTTTTTGAGGATAAAACTTACTGATCTATTAGGATTGTCTTTGTAATATTAAAATGGATAGCAAGACTAATTTAAAATAATCAATACAAAAGAATTTGAACATGGTAAAAAAATTGTAATTCAAGTTAAGATGAAACATTTCATGTTACCATGAGAAGCACAGTACAGAAGTGGGAAGTGCTACAAAGGCTGCTGGGACATTGTGATACAACATCGTAGAGGGTGCTGTGAATGATCAGCTGAAGATGTGTTCACAAGGATGTCCATGGTCTGAGAGAGAAGACGTAGGTCCATCCTTCATAGACAGACTCATTCCCGCACAAATCTGAATGGAATAAACTGAAATGGTGCTGTTTAAAAGTCGTAACTCTTAGTTTCAACAGTCTTGATACACTATGGAACAGGATTCTAATCATGGGCAAACGTTCACATTCACCCTGAACACAACCCTGCCTTGAATGACAGTTCCCGTGGTGATGGGATGACGCTAGAGTATGGGTAATTACAGCAGAAACTGATGCTGGGGTACATCAATCTATGTATCGGCTACATAACAATTCATACAGGGCCCAAACTTTATGTAAGTCAACAACACGTAACTGTTTCACAATCAGTTGCTTTTATCAGAGTTTATCATTTACCCTGTACACGTAACAGTACCAAGCACTAGATGGTCAAAACTGACATGGAATACACTGTAATACCACACCATCCATTACGACTGGTAAATACTGTTATACCAAACCTGTCGTAATGGCTGGTATGTACGCAGTTATACCACATCTTCCATAATGACTGGTATGTACGCTGTTATTCCAAACCAGCCAAAATGACTGGTATGTACGCCGTGATACCACAACTGAAATAATCACCAATATATGCTGATATACCATCCCCGCCATTATCACCACCATATGCAATGGTACCACATCTGCGATAATAACACATATCAGAGACATGGGATGTGGACTTGGTGTGACGGATCACTGAGAGATGGGCTCCAGCGATTGGTTCTATACAAGACTGGACAACAACCTGATGAATAACTGAGAAATCTGGCTGACACTGCCGTAGAGGTGAGTGATGTGTAGACGACAATGGTATGTAGGCCTGGCTGCAGCAGCTCCTTGTGAAACACAAAACTGTACACATTGTGCAACTGGTAAGTGTTATTCCACAGAGATGCTACGTGTTACGATGCTCATGATATCCAACGCCTGTCTGTATATATCTCCACTGGGTGTAATGAATCATTATACAACTTATCTCAGATAGCCAGTATCTGATGATAAATCCAGCCACGGAAAATAGCATCCTTCACAAATCTCTTTTAAAAATAGGACTTTGCCAATATCTATCACTTTGTCATATAAAAGGAATCACTTCTATAACTGTACTTCGAACTGTTTCACAGTCTTTGACCCGAATGGATTACTACCAGATTTATTGGCAGCCTTTGCTGCCCAGGCAACATCGAATGGATCCACGCCCGGTCCGGCTTGACGTGTTGGACTGGTCACACTGCTACTTGAAGAACTTTCAGATGCACTCCAGTGACTACTGCCTGATAGATTTCCATTGTGCTGGAAACTTCTTTGATGAGCCATTTCTAACAAAGTGGGTTTAGTCTTCTGCCAGCCCGTGTTAGAGAGTTCTCCTGTGTCTATGGAATGACTCCTAGTGTGCTGGAAGGGCATTGGTCGAGGACGTGCCATTGGTGCTTGGGCAGGAGGTGCCTTGGGGTAGGGTTCTCCAGAGAAAGGCACACCGTTGACAGCAGATGACGTTGGGGAGGTGGTGAAAGCAGTCTGAGGGGCAGAGGCGAAGGGGTTGGTGGATCCCATTGGGGAGGTGGCTCCCTTGCTTGGCCAGTCCTCGCTGGGGACACGCTGAGGTGCAGGAGGGGGTGTGGCAGTTGTTGAGGGGTTTGCCCATGGGTTGGTGGTAGGCTGCGGCACACTGGATCCATAACCTGCAACAGACATGAATAACATACATGTGTCACATAAACCTTCCAGTATAGTGTTCTGTTACAAATGTTATCTCAACCAGCCACCATAGTGTACAGTTACAGTGTCATAACCTACCTCCCAGTATAGTGTTCTATTACAAGTGTTATCCCTTACCTCCCAGTATAGTGTTCATTACAAGTGTTATCCCTTACCTCCCAGTATAGTGTTCTTTTACAAGTGTTATCCCTTACCTCCCAGTATAGTGTTCTTTACAAGTGTTATCCCTTACCTCCCAGTATAGTGTGCCTCTACAAGTGTTATCCCCTACCTTCCTGCACACTTATCAGTAACAAGTGTCATACCCAACAGTGTTCTGTTCAAGTGTTATACAGACCTGCTGTTATCCCCAACCTTCCAGTATAGTGTTCTGTTACATGTTATCCCCAACCTTCCAGTATAGTGTTGTTACATGTTATCCCCAACCTTCCAGTATAGTGTTCATTACAAGTGCATTACAAGTGTAGTGTTCAGCTACCATAGTGTACAAGTGTACCTCCCAGTATAGTGTTCTTTTACACAAGTGTTATCCCCTACCTTCCTGCACACTTATCAGTAACAAGTGTCATACCCAACAGTGTTCTGTTCAAGTGTTATACAGACCTGCTGGCGTAGTGTTCAGTCTCACAAGAGTTGGCTGAGTGGGGCTGGAGTACTGATGGAATGGTGGGACCGAGTTCTGGTGTGGGAGACCCATCCCTGGTCGAGTTGGAGCATTAGCGAAGGGCTCGTCTGAGGACAACGTCGACAACCCCTGTGTGAGCTGCTGACACATCTTGGTGATGGAGTCCTCCTGTTCATGGCTGGGAGACATCTCCTGTATAGCACCTCCTACTGCTGCAGGACAAACATCAGCAGTTAACACCACATCAGTCAGGGGTGGTATAAAGGTTTTACCCCACCAGGTGGCACAGTGCTTTAACAAGGCTTATACCCTACCTGACAGTATAGTCAGTATGCCCATGAGATTTAAGTCATATCATGCCAGAGATGTTAAATGAGAACAAAACCAATAAACAACTTTATTGCTCGCCCATGGGAGATACTTTTTACGGCAATATTACACTAGTGTAATACCACTAGACGTATGACGACATAATGGTTTACAGTTATGATGCCACAATGCTAATACCTCTGTCACCATGGTAATAGTCCTTGCTTGACTTGCAGAAAGCTGAGAGTCATCACACTGTAGGCAGTTTCTATCAATTTATGTTGGAGAGTAATAAACAGAATACTAAAATCACTTCTGTGAAATACCATTTTTATTAAACTTTCGCTTGTTTGATACCAAATCATTAACTCATTTAATAAAAATGGTATTACACGAAAGGTCATTTAGTATCCTCTATTAATATGTGTCATACACCAGTGGTGGTGGTGGTGGAATTGGGTTTAACGTCGTGCTTGAGAATATTTCGCTCATATGACGACGTGCATGCGTGTGTATGTGTAGATGCGGCTGCTTGTACTAGCCCAGACTTAAGCTGGTTTTATAGTGCTAGCCCACTGAGATACCATGCCACAGTGAAGCATGAATACCCCACTCAGACACATTATGACTCCGAGCCGACCAGTCCTTGTTGTACCCATTAATGCCGAGCACCAGGCAGGGACCAACAAGTACCATATTTTAATGTCTTTTGGTATGACGCGGTCGGGGATCGAACTCCGCGACCTTCCGCTCTCGGGCGGACGCTCTAACCACCACACCACGGAGGCGGTCTCATACACCAGTGGGGGGGTAAGTTTGAGGGCATGTCCTAATTATAAGCTGATACCTGGATCAATGTGGCTATAAAGAAGTAGCAAGTCATACAATCTTGTACAGTATTGTACCATCTTGTGTCTCAATGTCACATTTACTGTCAATTCACATAAATTATCACTGTAATTTCTTTGTGGAGGGGTCAATATTCATAGTTCTTCAGACAGTTTAGAAAAGGACACATGAGAACTTTTTATCACAGCAAGGGACACAAGGTACTTATGTCAGGAATAGAACCACAACCCTTTACATGAAAAACCAACAGTAACATTAGACAAGGTCCTGAGAAACATGATAGAGTTCTCTCCCTTACCACCATTGCCATTATGTGTTGGGGATTCTAGTATTGCGTTCTGCCTCTGTAACGTGGAGGGGAGTTCTCCCAGGCGTAGAGACACGGAGCGTTTGAAGGGGGATGAAGCTTCATGTAACTTTTCAAATCCTCGGAATGAACCCTGCCTGTTCAACATTGATGACGTGGCGTGCGGCCGCTGGACAGCATAAGGATTCTCAATCTTCCGCACAGGGACAGGTTCTGTTTAAAACATGACCATGCTCAAAGATATACATATAATTTGATAATAATAATAACAGTGTTAATCTATCTGTATTGTGATTGCTAGATATGCTCAAAGCTCACCTATATTACTGTAGTCAATGGCATTTATGCACACTTCATTTTCATTCTCCGCTCCCTCTGAAACTGCCTCTAAGGCCTCAAGAGTTAAGTCACCTTCTCCTACCAGATATCCATTCACAGGTGTGAGTGAGTGAGTTTAGTTTTACGCCGCACTCAGCAATATTCCCACTATATGATGGCAATTTGTAAATAATTGAGTCTGGACCAGACAATCCGATTATTTACAAATTGCCATCATTTACAAATTGCCATCAATAGTGGGAATATTACTGAATATTAACGACATTAAACAACAAACAAAACAAAACGTTCTCAGGAGACACATGAGGTTCAGTGAGGGGCCCTAAAACTTTCATTTGTTCAGCTGCCGAACATGGTCACCCATCCAGCTACCCTCCACGACTAACGCAGCACGACTTCACATGTGTTGCCTGCACACTGGGCGTACTACAACATGATTCGACAATAACTACAGCATTTTGTTCAGATACATCACATTCAAAATACTGAGTGAGTTTAGTTTTATGTCACACTAGGCAATATTCCAAATATATGGCGGCGGTCTGTAAATAATCAAGTCTGGACCAGACAATCTAGTTATCAACATCATGAGCATCATTCTACGCGATGACACGTGTCAACCAAGTCAGCGAGCCTGACTGACCGATCCCGTTAGTCGCCTCTTACGACAAGCATAGGTTACTAAAGACCAATTCTAAACCCGATCTTCACGGTTTCAAAATACTGAATCAGTGACTATGGTATTTTGTCTTTGGGAATTCAACCCTGGGACTTCGGCATAATCAGAAAATGCCTTACCCACAGGGCTGCAATATTAACCCTTCAAAACAACGATTTCTGTGACAATACATTACCAACTGTCAAGTGTCTCTAAAATAAAATTACCATTGCTTCATAACATGTCTCTCAATCATATTCACATCAACATACTTTACATGCTCAAACTACTAATAGCAATATACATAAAAATAAAAAAAATAACTGAGTTTATGCTTATATCTACATAACAATGGCGCTTCAAAATGTTTGTGTATCTTCCATGAATAAAATGAAATAATTTCTTGCTCTAATAAATTCATTTTTTTTCCAGCTAATCATGCAGCATCAAGTGATGCCCATCGTAATCCAGGAAGTTACCAAGACCAGCTGTCACTTACCTGCTAGAATTGCACTCTGGGGTCTGCCAGCCTCTCTGTGAGGGTGGTCTGTCGGAAGGACCCTGTCCGAGTGAAGCTTGTTCGGTCCTGGCTGAACTGAACTGTCACCCCGGTCTCCTTGTCTCGCTTCTGTTTCCGCTCCAGACATATTGCGAAAGCACACCCTACTGCATGGCTTAGTCTCTCTCCCTGTAACAGAGCAAATTACTTCACAATTAAGCAGACAACTATGTTAAATTCTGTCTGTAACGGAGTATGGCACTGCACAATTAGGCAACAAGATGAACATTCAGACTGTAACTGCACTATTAGACAACCAGGTAAACATCTGTAACAGAGAATGGCACTGCACAATGAGACAACCAGTTTACTTTCAGTCTGTAACGGAACACAATTAGACAAGGTCAATTGTCTGTAACGGAACAGGGCACTGCACAATTAGACAACCAGTTTAAATTCAGTCTGTAATGGAGCAGGGCACTGCACAATTAGACAACCTGAACCAGTTTACATTCAGTCTGTAACGGAACAGGGCACTGCACAATTAGACAACCAGTTTAAATTCAGTCTGTAATGGAGCAGGGCACTGCACAATTAGACAACCAGGTAAATACTCAGTAGAAACACAGCGAATATTTTCTTTAAACCACAGTAAGAACTATTCAATCCTTGCCACAATGGCCTGTAAGTAATTCAAGATCAAGCTAGGAAAACACCAGTGGCTGACAACATGAGCAATCATCCACACCACCATCCATGAATACATCACTGGGTCACACCAGCCAACACGTGACACAAGTCAGCCCTTACAACAAGCAGTACGTCCGTCCTGTCCTGCTCTGAACGGCCCTGCATTCATGGCATACAACATTACAACAGAGACCATTACAAGAAATACAACAGTGATATGACATAAAACTTCACAACTAAAAATATTCCTTTCACTAAAATATCATGCATACAAATAATTATGTTTTGTAATCTTAGAGGGGTATTCCACAGTCATATGTATAATAATTATGCTTTGTAATGTTACAGAATATTCCACAGTCATACAGACTAATAATTAAATTCATCATTATAAAGATTCCATTTTCACACAAACTAACAGGTATTTATTATGTCTAGTAATATTACAGAGTATTGAACTATCATGCATACTCAGAATCATGTTTCGTAAAGTTACAATGGTATTCTACCAAACAATAGTTCCAACTGGTACAAGTACAGGAACAAATTTACACGACATGCTTCCTGTATTGAAAATGTACACCATCTCAGCACACTTCTAGTTATGTTCAAATAAGAAAGTGCATTTCCCCTTCCAGCAATCAATATCTCTGAAGAGTAATGAATAATCGGATATTTCTCCATGCAACCTACATTCAAACATGACATCTATTGACACCAGACTTATCATTCTGTCCAGTCTACAATGCATCTTGACGTCAATATCTTGACATCAGCAGTATAATATCAATACTATCAGCATGCCATGCTACCCAACTTGACAAAGACCCGACACACATCAACTCTGTCCAGCCCTCAAACACACAGCGGCCATCTTGCTGAATGATATTCATGGATACCTTGTTGACACATTCCACAATTTAATCAGAGCTTGCACAACCTTGAATCCAACTGAAGGTCCATGCAAATGCTCATATTATCACTGTGGCCATGCTTCTGCATTACTGCTTTAAAGCTTCATCTAGAAAATAGCTGACATCAAATGATTTTTACTTCTGGGGAGATCTTGGTGTTGTTCATTATCACCTTCCCGAGACCACTACTTTTTTTCTTTTTCTTTTTTAACGCTTTTAGCAATATTCCAGCAACATCACGGCAGGGGACACCAGAAATGGGCTTCACACATTGTACCCATGTTGGGATTCGAACCCGGGTCTTCGGAGTGACAAGCGTACGCTTTAACCACTAGGCTACCCCACTGCAACTACTATTATAGGTACAATCAGCCAGCCATTTTGTCCACCTGTTCTACGTATTATTTTCCTCTTAGAAGCACATGTAGTGTGAATCTTTTGTGTCGGAATGCCTTACTGATGATGCATTTTGTCTGTCTATAGCTCCATCAATAAAATACTGCTCTTTGGCCAAAATCCATAACATTGAATACAACCAGAAAATAAATGCAACAGAACAAGTAACAAATATTTTAAAAAGTCATAAAAATCAATAAATATCCAAGACAACTTAAATCTTAATAACAACTATATTTTCTTCAATAAGCAGACTTCTGGTTGTGGTGGCTTAACCATGTATACTTACTGTGCATGCAATCTATCTTTACAACCCATAACACTTCTGTAAGCTGCGTACAAGGATTGTCATAGTGATCTCCTGGATACAAGACTTTTAATTAGAAGATCTTTGTCAACAAGCGTTCTTGTGAAAATGGCATAAAACATCCAGTTTTTGAAATCACAATTGTCACCTGCCTGATGAGTGTGTAAAATAATCCATATACCATGTGTGGTCAATGACCTGAGAAACTCTCCATACTGATTCTGTCCAATGACAAATAATCAGGCTTGAAAATTAACATATATCCACTAAAACTCCAGAAAGACTTGAGACATTTCCTTGCCAACCGATACTTTAACCATCAGACAGACGGCTCATGTACACTATTTTCGCAGACCAATGAAAATTATCCTTGAACTTTATCACAATCCCCCAGAACACACATTGCCAGCAACAAGATTCCATTTTACTTCTAATACTGAACTTGTATTGGTTTTATCCTAAATATACAGAGATTCAACTTCTGTCCACAATAAGACTGTGCAAGTAAATGTTGATGTACGACAGCACCAGAAATATTCCAGCTCCATCACTGGACAGGACTGAAATAGTAGTGGTAGCACGAGCATCAACTCCAGCCACCTGGGCACACGATACACACACAATCAGGCACATGAGAGGCATGTCATATTATACAAAGCAGATCCTCATTTTGCATACTATTAGTCTGTTAACATTGGTTGAAGGAGACCAATTCTACCCTAGCAACCTATGTGGATGGTTGAACTAGAGAACCTCCTGAATTGTTCCTAAATCAGCTTACCAATATAGTCTCAATATATTTTCTGACTGTTTAATGTAATAGGTATTAAAATAAATAACCTCTGTATAAAATGCAACAACTTCAAATTTGATGTATGATATTCAACTTCAAATTAGAAAATATGTTGAACAAAATGTTCCATAGATGGTCATTTTGAAAGCCAAGTTAGCCACAACGATAGCTTTAAAACAGTGATTTTAAATAAGGTTGACTCAGGATGTAAGATAATATCCAGATTTGCAAATTTCCACATTTTCTGAACCAGATTGCAACACTAAACAAGTAGAAATGAGTGAGTGAGTGAGTGAGTTTGGTTTTACGCCGCTTTTAGCAATACTCCAGCAATATCACGGCGGGGGACACCAGGAATAGGCTCCACACATTTTGTCCATGTGGGGAATCGAACCCGGGTCTTCGGCGTGACGAGCGAACGCTTTAACCACTAGGTTACCCCACCGCCCCAGTAGAAATGAAGCAAAGAAACAAAAAGCCAGGCTGCAATAATTTCATATCTTTAACATTTCCCGAAGTGGGACACAAACTACTTTTTCGTGTCATGTCCACTAACTACACAGACTACTTAGGAATGTTTATTATGTAAGTACTGATGACAAAACACTCTGCAAGGATTCCCTGACATATATGTCTGTAGACCAGTTACTGACACTCTAGCAGAAAACTGATGCATGTGGAAATGCTGACTCCCCAATTAATGAATCAAAACTGCTACTATTCTGGGACCATGTACCGGTAGGACAAAACCAGCCACAGCACAGGCGGCATTTGTGGAACCAATTATTTTATAACTGAAAGCCTGGACTGATACTGCTGGAAGGAAGTTGGTATTGAACCGCCCCAAAGAGGTCTGTACAGTGTAAGAGCAAGCACCTGCAGCAGATAGCACTCGACTCTTGATAACTCCCACCATTCCTGCTGCATTTAGAGAAAAGGGGCAGTGGGGTAGCCTAATGGTTAAAATGTCCGCTCATCACGCTGAAGACCTGGGTTCAACTACCCACATTTCTGGTGTCCCTCGCCGTGTTACTGCTGGAATATTGCTAAAAGCGGCGTAAAATCCAACTCACTCATTTAGAGATAAATAATCCACATCCACTTAAACTCATGTCCATGTTCATCAAAAACGTTGATAGTTTTCTCGCGAAAGCAGCCACACTGGAATGTGAGCGTTCAAAGGTGGAACACAAGCCACAGTCAAACTATGGGAGACAACAGTTTGAGCATAGGTTTTGTTCCATCAAATGCTACTGATGACAGGACATGACTAAATGCTGTTTTGAATATCATCCTTGTCAGATGCCATTATAAATATGAAGGCATTTTAATGCATTTAACAAATTGTACTGTAACCAATAATAAAATGACCCACAGCTGACCAAAATCAGTCCCATTACAAAATAGCATATATTTGTTTATTAAACAGCGTATCTTCAACAGATGAATAATATTGCCAACATTTGACACATTTTGGACCGCAATGATATAGAAAGATGACAAAACCATGTTTTCTTCACTTTGCACCCACAGGAAGCAATTTGCATCAAAAACACAACATGACAAGAGCTCCTTATGTATACCGGTACTTGATTAAACTCAGTCTGTAGGTCTCATTCATGATTAGGGGTAACTATTCAAGCTGTTTTACTACTAGATTGCAATACCAACTTTGAGGCTTGATAATTATATCAAACAACATGATAAAAATTAAGTTAATATTGCTGGGAAATGACAGCAGGCCATTTTCATCCTGAAGTTACAAGTAAACTTGTCATTATCCCGGCTGATCAACAAAAGGCATGGTCGAAATGTGACATAAGAAGCGTTTTGTGATGCATAATTATGTTTAATCTACAACTACTTGTAATTAATGAAACTATAGATTCAATACAATCAGCAATACGAGCAGCATGTTTAACTTGAACAGATATAGTACAATGGTGCAGCACATGATTGCCGTACACTGATAGCAGTGTATGAAATAAGCCAAAAAACCCAGCCAGACATCTGGGCTGGTAACTTTATAAACTTACCAGCCCAGAAGAGATTTAACCAGTCAGTACCAGTAGGCATGTTATCAGAATATTTATTTTCACCCGTCCATCGGGCTGGCTAGCTGTAAAATTAGACCGTCCGGCAGAATTCTAGCCCGTCTCGGCAGTCGGACGGTCTTTATTTCATACACTGCTGATAGGCGGGATACATTGTTACACTCTTATTCATGACTGTATCCAGTTCCACTACATATGCAGGACATGCAAGATACACACATGTTTCCTTTCATGCTGTGAAGGTACCAACTGTTTGTCTATTGTTGTGGCTGAGCACTAACTATTGATTCACTGTTTGTTGTTTTACGCCGCACTCAGCAGTATTCCTGCTATATGGCAGCAGTTTGTAAATAATTGAATCTGGACCAGACAATCCAGTGATCAAAAGCATGAGCATTTATCTACACAATTGGGATACGAGTGAGTGAGTGAGTTTAGTTTTACGCCGCACTCAGCAATATTCCAGCAATATGGCGGCAGTCTGTAAATAATCGAGTCTGGACCAGACAATCCAGTGATCAACATCATGAACATCGATCTGCGAAATTGGGACTTGGGATACGATGACATGTCAACCAAGTCAGCGAGCATGACCACCCAATCCCGTTAGTTGCCTCTTAAGACAAGCATGGGTTGCTGAAGACCGATTCTAACCTGGATCTTCACGGGACCTAGTGCTAACAACTCCTAGTAGGGAAGTGGAGACGACCAAGGATCAGTATCAGGCCAATCTAGGAGTTTAGCCAAAGATCAACATCCTGGCACTTCTAGGGGATATAACTCTGCAAAGTGATTTGAGGTGCTATAGAATACTTAGACACCCACCACCTTACAAGATGTACTGTGCAAACAGATTTACTGAAAAGTGATCAAGTGAGTGAGTGAATGGTGATTCACGTCTGCCTTAAGGAATCAAGCTTGGACAACACAAACTAGTGGTCAACGATATGAACATCTCAATACAATCTGGAGTGTCAGCATGGTTAGAACCATGGAGGTCCACTCACACACCACCTGGCCCAGAATCCAAACATATTCACCTCATACCATACGCACTGGGGACAAACTCCTCCCTTGAATCCCCATGAGAGATGTTTGCCAAATTTGGAGGAAAGCCCATCCTGACACATGTTATTGGCACTTATCTCTTAAAGGAAACCTCTGAGTATGTGTCAGCCAAGGAACAGTTCTGTCAAAAATCAAGGATTTGAATCTATTCTCAGCAGAATACTTGGAGAAAAGGGAGCAACTCCCTTCACCCCAAGAATCAAGCATTCAAACCCTGGGAGCCTTGGATCTAAGGGAAATAACTCCGCAAACCACTGAGCCACCTGTGCCTCTTACGGAGAGAGTGAGTGATGTTTTACACCAAGGTCAGCAATGTTCCAGCTATATCAGGGTGGTGTGTAAATAATCCAGTCTGTGCCAAGCAAACCGATATTCCACCAAAGCTGACACATAATCATCCTGTTACACCATTAATATTTTAGCTACAGCCATTTTGTCCCTGGAAGGTGAGGTGAAATGGGGTTTAACATCGTACTTGAGAATATTTTGCTCATGACGTGTGCGTGGGTGTGTATGTGTGGCTGCTTGTACTAGCCCAAACTTAAGCTGGTTTTATAGTCCTAACTCACTGAGATACCATGCCGCAGTTAAGCATGAACACATTATACTGACTCCGAGCCGACCAGTCCTTGTTGATGCCGAGAGCCAGGCAGGGACCAACAAGTACCATATTTTAACGTCTTTTGGTAAGAAACCCGTGACCTTCTGCTCTCCAGGCGGACGGTCTAACCACTGCACCACAGAGGCGATTGGTCCCTGGAAACCTCACAATAGGCTATTGAAGAGAGTGTGGCTCTGGTAACACAGGATGTATGGTACTACAAATGCTGATGCTGTTTAATTAACACACAGAAGCATGATAGATTGAGGGTGAATATGATATTCATGCTTTTGGGAATTCAAAACATCTTCATTACATAGATACAAAAAAATATAGTCAAAGTCGAAAACAAAATTACAACACAAAATGCTCAAAAAACAAGCCTAAAAACTAAAGGCACAAGATTCAACTAAAAATAATTGATATGGGTGAATATATAATTAATGTGAACAAGTTGCTAATGATTAACCATAAGCACATTCAAGATTAGTGGAAACGAGAGCTTTAACAGTTAATCTTACCATTGCTTCCGTGGACTGAAAATAAGCAGAATTTTGTGTAGCATGAACAAGACTGGTGATTTTGTCAACAATAAATAAAGTCTGATTAAACTTTATAAATTAATTTAAATTAATTTCCTGTTCAATTTCTTCTTGTTGCACCCAAGTTTCCTGACTTACTAGGAGCCGGGACAACTGCTAACACTTTGCATTTAATGGATGTTTTGAAATGTAAATATATAGAATTCTCCATTAAATGTCAAACAGAACTGAAATCCTCCTCTTAATCAGGTCACTCTCATACCACTCCTCAACTAATAATTTCAAACATATTTATTTACCATTTTTCTTTGTAATCTGAATGAGTGAAACACAGGTGTATTATTGAATGGATAAATGTTTTATCTTTTTGTTTGATTTTCAAAATATGGTACATGAAAGTAGCATTAAATTCCTATCATTTCAAAATTCTATAAGGTTCCACATCAAACAAAAGAATATTTTTCACTATGGCAACAAAATAACTACATTAGATTCATTTTTTATTCATACCAAATCTTTTCACAACCCTGATTTTCATGCAGTTTTCAAGATATAAGCCAGATACAAATTTAAACTTTAAAAAAAAAAAAGTCAAGCTAGCAAACTTTCTGCAGATGAAGAAATAAATAAGCAAAACGTCACTGTTCTAACATGCAGGCTCCAGTCAAAATGGGGGTACTTGTAAGAAAAAAAATAGTCATTGAAGCAGTTAGTTCTTCACAAGATTTAAACAAATACATCAACATTTCGGCTAAAGTGCTCGAACACTACATCAGTAATTTCAAGCGTGTATTTATATCACATAACATTGATCCCGAAATTACATAAAACATCTTTCTATGAAGTCATCATGATACACAGCAGAGTCCATGGTCTAAGCCAAAGGGCTATCCCTCTATCAAGAATGTAGACTGTTTGATATGCCGTGCAACTGGCAACTTGGGATAGTGCTGTCCCCAACCTCTGTCTTGGCCACAATTTGCCATTTGTCTGTTCACTGAGGTACTATCTCGCAGAAATATATAATCACAGGCTTCGCTCAACTCCATTTGTGATTGTATGTTCCTGTACACACTTTGACTTCTGAGTGAACATGTATCTTATGCTGGTCATCCATGTGAAATGTCTCTGTGATTAAATACTGTGTTCATAGGCAATGCCATGATGCTGTAAATACACACCTTCACAATAGCTTCAAATCAGTAGCTCTCCCATTTTTTGTCAGTACTATATAAATTTTTTCCATGTGTCAGAAATAAACTATAGTGAAAAAAACCCACATGACTGATGGTTGGAAATAAGCTTTGTTTTATCAAATCCCCATTTCTTTGAAAAAAAGTTCAGATTTCTTTTCAAGAAATCAAAATCAATCTTCATTTGTAGAACTGTCAAACTTTTTATAATTATTTGGGCTAGACTTAGCACCATATATTTTCATCACATTCACAAACATAAGTCAAAATTGCAATTTATTCCTACACATTGTGCAAATTAGCAAATTAAATAAGAATCTATGACAAACATTGATTTTCATCCTCATTAAATACCAGCCACTCTTCATTTCTCCAAACTGGGGGCCCTATGTCAGGCATAATCCAATGTGGAACTGGCCAATGGGACATGATCAATAGCAATGGAAGGGCATTACGAAAACTATTAGATGACAATGATACCGACATATAAGAATAATAGATATAGGACATCAAGGACAAAAGAGTGTTCAATATATTCTTCAGTATCCATGGCAACAGGAAAATATAATTCAACATATGTTGTCAATTCCTCAACATGGCCTGTCAATGTAGGTCCCAACAAGATGCAAAACAACCCACTTTCCTGCTTATCTCTTCACAAGAACCTAACTAATGTAGATCAATAACTGACTTAACAATCAGATGGTCATCCGGGTTAGAATTGCCCTTCAGTGACCCATGCTGTCGTAAGAGGCGTCTAACAGGATTGGGTGGTCAGGCTCGCTGACTTGGTTGACACATGTCATCGTATCCCAACCGCGTAGATCAATGCTCATGATGTTGATCACTGGATTGTCTGGTCCAGACTCGATTTACAGACTGCCAGAATATTGCTGAGTGTGGTGTTAAAAAAACAACCAATCAGATGTTTCTTATCCACTAGACCCACCCTGCTTCTACAGCGTTCTACAGGAACCACCGACAAGTTTAGCCTTATCTACACGTGTAATTCCACCATTAGCCAAATAGCACAACATTTACTTTTCAGAAGATCCCTATGTTTTGAAATTCAAATCTCAGTCCATCATTTAAGGGATATTGGTGTCCCCTCCTCACCTCCTGTTTGTAGTAATTATTTTGGGACTGTAACAGTGTTAGCAGGAACTTTAAGCATTAGACGTATACACACCGACAGTGATTGAGTGAGAGACCTATTAGTGCTAGTGATATTTCAGCAACATCATGACAGAAGAATATGGTTGTCTGGTTTGTTGTTCAATGCAGCACTCTTCCAGCTATATGGCTGCAGTCTGTAAATAATCTAGTCGGGACCTGACAATCCAGTGATCAACAGCATGAGCATTGTTCTACGCAAGTGGGCCAAGACAGGACACCAAAATAGCACCACACTTCAACCCATGTGAGGATCAATCCCAAACCTACAGTGAGACAAGTGAACACTTGACCCACTAGGCAGATAAGAAAGTATCAGACTGCTGCTATAATTAAACATTGTCTTACAGTACAAACTCAGTTTATATGAAGACCTATAAATATCACTGTACTTAATATTTATATTTAATATTCTAAATTCTACCACTGGTGATGGCCCTCTAGACTGACATTTAGTACCAGAAAAAAAGTTCACTTATATAAAATGATAGATCTAACCCCCCAAAAATGTACATTCAAAAAATATATATATAAAAAATATAACCAAAAGGTGCCCAGAACAATTATTAATTTGCCTAGTGCTGAGGCAATCTAGATTTGCCACCTCATTCTAGACTTGAGTGCGACTCTTCCTTCACCAAATGCACTATATGAATTGTTTCACTTAGCATTACCAGACTGTTACTTCACTGTTGCTACAAGGTAATGAAAGCCTAATCACAAAGTAAAAATCAGACACTGCATTTTGGTCCGTAAAATATGGAAAAAGTCACTGGAAGAAAAGTCATGCGCAACATAAATGTGTGCTGAAGACATGGAGTGTGACAGCATGACACATGACATCCCTCCGGTACACGAGGTACTGCTGCAACAAACATGCAAATGCAAACACAAGCTGGAACACACGCAGACTGGCAGTACAGCACCACAATACTGCAGAATGTTAGATGTTAGCATCTGGTGAACATCCTATATTAAAGATAAACATATTTAAACATTCATTGTATTTATCTAGAAAGATGGTGTTTGCTATGTTAAAGAGTGCATTAGAAAGACAAGGACACTTGCACTGACATGCATTATGGAAACAGAATTCTTTTGTCTCCAGTACCAAATGTACAGTTAACAGTACTTATTCTTTATTAATATAACTGGGGTAGCTTTTGTCACGTGAGAGAACAGTAAATAATTTTAGGTTCATATTTATTTTATATCCTTTTATTGACTTTTTAGGGTCCAAAATTGATGTAAATCCACTGGTCTAAGACCAGTAAAATTATAAACGACAAGCAATTTTGTTGTTGATAAAAAAATTTACCATTAGGAAATTGTAACTATGTAGCAGATAATTTTTTCTGGCAAACAGAAATGTATTTAACTGCAGGGGGATAAAGTACATTTCTGCTTAGGTTTAGCAAAATGGTAAAGGTCAACCATATAAATAAAAAATTAATCTTTGATACAGTATCCGTTAATGAGATATAAATATCTCGTATGCTTGTAAAAGAGTGTCCCAATCTTTCAAACTTCAACAACGAACTGTTTCCAAATGAAAATATGAATAACGGTCGTGCATCACTTTGCAAAGGAGAAAAAGAGAAAAGAACACAGTTATTTGGTGTGGCTGAAGACGTGATAAAAGTTAGTATATAAGAGCTATGGAACATATTTGGTTTAAATATTGGTTTAGGGAACAATAGCTGAAACAAGTCATCTGTGATTCAAACTTCTGAATTAGTCATAGAAACAGCTGGTCCATCTTCAAATTTGTTGAATTCCAAATCCACAGAAGTGATATAAGGTTACACTATCTAAATGAATAGATTAGAAAGCATTAAAAGATAATGTTATTGATTCTACAATGGAACACTATCATCGAAACTGTTGTAATATGATGCCAAAAAGAAATACTATTAAAACAATCAGCAATTATCGAAGTGCGTATCAATTCTCTCACCTAACCTAATTCCTTTCTTTCCTAAAGACAAAACAAGCTAAAGGAAAACAAAATGTGATACCAAATCAACTTCACATTAGTCCAAATCTAACCGAATTTCAAGGATTTAATTAAATTATCCACCACTTAGATTCCTTCTCTCCAAGATTTTTGAACTCCCAGGACGAAGTAATTTCGTTCTTGATATGGAAGTGGCTTTCCTAAATTTATCCTGCAGTTCCCTGTTGTACACATTTTTCAATGACAGTGCTATGGTTTCTTACAAGCAAAAGCAGCCAGTCACCACAGTGCAGCTCTGGCTGAAGGAAGACCTCTAGAGGACTTCGCCTCCCTTCCTTCAACCAGCGCAGCAAAGCCTTCCCAAACCTGCTTGTCTGTGCAGGAACAACCTTCTGGCCTAAAGTGTCTACAGAGAGAGTATTGCAGTTCTATAGTATAGGTGGAATGTGGTTTGAATTTGAGTTAATGGAGGACAAAAGTGTCAAAGCAACGTGAACGTTATTTCAAACTTTGGGTTAGTAGGACTTGGATTAATAAGGTTTACCTCTTGTCAAACATCATCTCAATCCACAGCATGGTCTGGTCAGTTCGGGAGAGGTTTGATCTGATTGTGATGTGGTGTGAGCTGTATGCAATTTGTTACAGTAAAACTATCAGATTATTGCTTGGAAAATGATGTTTGAAAAATATTTGCATGTGCTGCCTAACGTGTGCAGTATGAACACTATGTTGTCCTTAGAGATGAGATGTGATCAGAAGCTAACAATATCTCATAAAGTGCAGTAAGAATGTTGATAAATATGAATGTGAAAACTGCATCCTGAAATCTATGTTGTGATTCTTCCATCATGTTCTACATGGCCATCAAGCCCACTCAGGTGTGTCCTGATGCAACATGTCACAGGTGTTCCATCCACGAGCTGTATGATGATGGTGATTATTGTGGTGCGGACATACATGCATTCATGTACAACCTGTCAGGCTGTTCCATCTGGGAACTAGGTCATTGTGGTAAGGAGAAATTGTGCAACCACATGCAACTTGTCAGGGGTGTTTCACTTGGGCTGTAATGATTGTGGAAATAGTAAAGTGGTAATAATGTGTAACATCTCAGGGTGTTCTGATGACGTTGGTGTGCAACATCTCAGGGTGGTCTGCCTGAAGTGTGTGATGAGGTTGTGTAACTTGTCATGGTTTTCTGTCTGAGCGTGTGATGACGTTGGTGTTCAACATGTCGGGGAGTTCTGTCTGAGGTATGAGATGACGTTGGTGTGCAACATGTCGCGGAGTTCTGTCTGAGGTGTGAGATGACATTGGTGTTCAACGTGTCGGGGAGTTTTGTGTGAGGTGTGTGATGACGTTGGTGTGCAACATGTCAGGGTGTTCTGAGGTATGTGTAATGTTCCCAAACTAAGCAGGCCATGCAGTGTGAGGACTCGGGTGGTGTTCCAGTCAATGGTTGCTGCTCACACAGGTGACAGGTCGGGTTGGCTCAGCACACTTCACAGTAAGCCCACACACAGTAGTGAGAAATAAAGAAACAATACTGACACTTACGGACTCTTTCACAGCTAGGAAGCCGTGACACATCCATCGTCTGGTAGTTCCATCTCGACAGATGTAGGCAAACCCCTTTTCGTGGTTACGATCAGGAGCACAGAATGAAACCTTCTCAATTGTCTGGTCCACAATCATGCTCTGAAACAAACAAGTTACAATCGATCATGAATGAGTGAGTTTAGCTTAACTCCGCTTTTAGCAATATTCCAGCAATATCACAGAAGGGGACACCAGAAATGGGCCTCACACATTGTACCCATGTGGAGAATTGAACCCAAGTTTCAGCCTGATGAGCAAACGCCTTAACCACTAGGCTACCTCACCACCCTACAATCAATCATAAAAGTCAAAGGATCCTTTTCATTACACTCCTGTTAAAAGTTAAGCATTTCTCCACAGTCACATACAATGGTAACAAACCTCAAGGAGACTGACAGCCCTGAATCTTAGTGGTGCGCGGGCAAGTGATCAGTCTGTTTCCAGACATAAGAGAATATATCAAGAAGGAGACCAACTCAAGTGTAAATTGCCTCAGACCTACAGTCCATTAGTGTATGAACTGTCCTGGGCTTCTTTTGTATTTGTAATATTTTCTTTTACATAGATATTTGTTAATAAGACAGCATGATTTTAATGAGGAAATGTCAATCCAGCAGGCAATATAAGTAATACAACCTCTCTACATAAAAGGCAATATCAGTACTGTCATCTTCATACAATTCCTCTTCCTCAAGCCATATGCCTTGGCACAAGGTATGATATGCTTAATATAGTGGGATTACTTAAAAATGTTTGTGTAAATTTGTTTTAAGCTCAGGTGCAAGTATTCCTGCCATATCACAGGGCCTTTAATAATCGGCTTAGGAAACAGATACACCAGTAGCAGACAGCAAGTAGCAACATCATTGTCAGAGTACTTGACACACTCTCAGCATGGCCACACATTTTACCCCCCCTAACCTACTTTAAGTGAGCTAGACAGATAAGTATGCTGGGTCTTTAAGTGATCCCAGCATGACAACTGCCATTATACTGGTTTTCAATCAGCATAATGTTTAACAGTCTGCTATTTCAGGTGAGTGAGGGAAGAGTTTGTTCATCAAAATTCATCTGATCTTGAAAATCTTTATTGATTCTCTTGAACAAATTAAGGTGTCATGATTGGTGGGAATGAGCAAATGAAGTTTCAGCTGAGATGAACTATGTACAACATTTTTTGTATTTTCCAATATGGCTGATGGCAGCCATATTTGATTTCTGACTAGATATCTTCAGCAAGCATGGAACCACTTCTAGTGACCACCTATACCATCAAGTTTCCTTTTAAGCATTTGACAAAAAGTCCTTTTAATTACTTTTTTGATCATCAAATATGGCTTCCTGGTGGCTATATTGAAATTCCAACCTTGAGGACTGGAACAAACGTAACACCTGCTATTGTAACAAACAGCTACACAAAATTTAAGGAGAATCCATTATGTCATTTCAGGGAAAGTCGGAAGAGTAAAAAATGATGAATAACTTATGACACCACAAGGTGAGGCCTGAGGAGCTAAATACAGCAGAAAGGGAGTCCATCTGATGAAGTATGATACACACATTTAAACGCCATTGTGCTATTTCACTCTTAAATAACAACGCCAAACTGAGACCTTTCCTGACCTGCATCCCAGTTACACAACATTAGACCGAGTTATCCAAGGTTTATTTCTGAAGGTCCTAATGAGTTTCTCACTTTGACGACACACATGTATGGATATTGATCACATTATATCACTCCCTTCTCGCAGTGCTGATCACTACAGACGACAGAGAAATAGTTTAAATCATTTCTCCCCCAGTTACATTAACAACAGATTTGAAACTAATAATTCTTTCCAACAAAAACAAAGGATATGTTTGATGAAAGATTGATACGCTTATTGACAAGAACATTCGAACATAAATGTACATAATATATCTGAGTCTTTCTGAATGAAGTTAGTATTCACAGACTTCAGATGGCAAAGATTTCACTTTCATTATTGCATATATTTTAAGCTCATTCATCAAAGATACTGACTGACTGACTGACTGACTGAGTTTGGTTTTACGCCGCTTTTAGCAATATTCCAGCAACATCACGGCGGAGAACACCAGAAACGGGCTTAACACATTGTAGCCATGTGGGGATTCGAACCCGGGTCTTCGGCGTGACGAGCGAACGCTTTAACCACTAGGCTACCCCACCGCCCCCCAAAGATAACATATGGAGTTAAGGAACTCCATCTTTTCCTGACTGCATTCCTGTGTGTGTGCCGTTGTACAAAGCGATCTTAGCGCTAAGGTGATTGTATCTCTCATACCTTAAGACTTACGACTGGCATAGTGCTAAGGCACCCAGGATGTTTAGTTCCTGTCCCCATCCCTTCGAATCCGACCTCCTTCACACCCACATCACGATCTGCTTCTCTTCTCTGTTTTCATGTTGTGAATCATTTGATTCAATAATCACAATGATTCAAGTGGAAGTCATGACACGGAAATCTCCATGGAAAATGCATGGACTCAACATCGTGGGCTTTAACACAAAGTTTGTTGTCGGGCTAAATCGGGGCTTCATTTCAAGACAGGAGCAAGCTGAGCTATTCCTCTGAGCATGTGAGATGCATCTTGATCTCTGGTCCCTACTCCCATTCAGGCACAATAGGCAGAGCTTCCTTTATAGACCAATTTAATTATTCTATTTCTGGTGCGACTATCAGGCAGGAAGCTGGAGATTCCAGCACTCTACAGATTCAAGGAAACTTGTGAGGATGTTTTTTTTCACTGGTAGAAATGACGAGTGAGCCCCAAACCCTGTCTGGTGTTCCTTGAGCATCTTAACCTTCCTGTCAGTATCTTTCACATACTTGACAATTCTTTGTCAATCACTATCTACAAATGCCTCTCAAGAATCTTACAATATCATCATAAACATTTGGTTGCTGGTTTTAAGGCTTGTGTTGACATTTTAGTAATTTGAAAGGGTCAAAGAAGTCCTAAGAAATCTAAAGCACTTTCAGTCATTATCATGAGTTTCCCAGAAGAGTTCGATAAATCATTTATATTGCATGCATCTTGTACATGGGGTCTACAAGGTGAGGTTGGAAGAAATGGGGTTTAATGTAGTGCTCAAGACTACTGCTCTAATATATCGATGTGCATGTGATGTGTGGGTGTATGTCGCTGCTTGAACGAGCCTCGGCTAATGATGGTTTTGCAGTGCCAGCCAACTGAGATGCCCTTCTGAGACACAGTACAGGACTCCAAGCTGATAGTCCTTGTGTTATTGCCTCAAAGCTGAGTGACTGTTAGAGTAGTCGGTGAGTCAGTGAATATAGTTTTACGCCACTTTAGCAATATTCCAGCAATTCCAAAGCAGGGGATGCCAGAAATGGGCTTCACACATTGTATCCATGTGAGGAATCGAAGTCAGGTCTTGGGTGTGATGAGCGAACGCTTTAACCACTAGGCTACCCCATCGCACCCAAGGCAAGGTAACAAGTAGTACCATCTTTTAGGATCTTTTATAAGCTATACCTAGGGATCAAACCAAAACCTTCTCCCTCCAAGCAGACATCTATCCCCAACTGACTGACTGACTGACTGACTGACTGACTGAGTTTGGTTTTACGCCGCTTTCAGCAATATTCCAGCAACATCACGGTGAGGACACCAGAAATGGGCTTCACACATTGTACCCATGTGGGGATTCGAACCCGGGTCTATGGCGTGACAAGCGAACACTTTAACCACTAGGCTACCCCACCGCCCCTCTATCCACAAGACTACGGGGGTGGTTCATAGGTACCAATAGGAATTGGGAGGCCACCTATTGATCCTGTGTGGGCTGCTATACAGTGTTACTTGTAATATAAATCAGGGCCTCCTTTCACAAAGCACTAAGGTCACTAAGTCACCTAGGTTTTGGGAAAGGGTGTCATTAAGTTGGATAACTTGTGCCCAATCCTTTTCCTCAATGAACAAAATATGTTTAAATCAGTCACTTAGGTAACCTTGGTGCAATGTTAAAGAATGGGAATTAAGGTTAACCTTAGCAAAGGTTGCTTCGTGAAAGGAACCCGTTTGTCAGACCAATTATTCACAAGCCATGTGTCAATATCACAGAATATGCCATAAACATCATTCACTCACTGCAAAACATGGCACAAACATCCGTAATGTTCCAGTGATATCTGTACCATTCTAACAGTTCCAGTGATATCTGTACCATTCTAACAGTTCCAGTGATATCTGTACCATTCTAACAGTTCCAGTGATATCTGCACCATTCTAACAGTTCCATTCTAACAGTGATATCTGCACCATTCTAACAGTTCCAGTGATATCTGTACCATTCTAACAGTTCCAGTGATATCTGCACCATTCTAACAGTTCCAGTGATATCTGTACCAGTGCTAACAGTTCCAGTGATATCTGCACCATTCTAACAGTTCCAGTGATATCTGTACCATTCTAACAGTTCCAGTGATATCTGCACCATTCTAACAGTTCCAGTGATATCTGCACCATTCTAACAGTTCCAGTGATATCTGCACCATTCTAACAGTTCCAGTGATATCTGTACCGTTCTAACAGTTCCAGTGATATCTGCACCATTCTAACAGTTCCAGTGATATCTGTACCATTCTAACAGTTCCATTTAGCAAAGGTATTTTGTCAGACCATCACATCAATGATTCATTACGTTGCCATGGACCCTCCATATGCCTCCAGCTATGATACTAATGATTCCTTATCTGCCTCTGTACCACATCACCCCGATTCATCAGCACACGAAACAATAACTGTCACAGCAGGATGCATTGTGCTACAAACACATGTTTATGTTATTAATTAGAGGAACATAAATCCAGTCATTTAGGTCAATTCATATTTTCAATGCAATGACTTTTACAGCTTTCATTTTCACAATCCACGATCAACTGTGAGCTGGGTTGAGATTCTGATGCTAGGAAACCCTACCTTGGAAGGCATGACACCCAAATGATAAATTACCAATGACGTTTATACAAGATTAACAAACTTCCAATCCTTTTTTGCACAAAATTTGATTAAGAGGGAGATTTACTACAGTTTTATGTGACATTTAACAATGTTGGAGCCATTATCTCTAGGCTGGAGAACCAAGAATGAGTTCATGTATCATGCTGATTGGATTGAGTGACTGAGTGAGTAGGCTTCAATAACAGGAGAGTGAGTGAGTGAGTTTAGTTTTACGCCGCACTCAGCAATATTCCAGCTATATGGCGGCGGTCTGTAAATATTCAAGTCTGGACCAGACAATCCAGGGATCAATAGCATGACCATCGATCTGCGTAATTGGGAACCGATGACATGTGTCAACCAAGTCAGTGAGCCTGACCACCCGATCCCGTTAGTCGCCTCTTACGACAAGCATAGTCGCCTTTTGTGGCAAGCATGGGTTGCTGAAGACCTATTCTACCCCGGATCTTCATGGGCCCAATAACAGGAGAAACACCGCTGTCAGAAATGGCACCTGAATGGAGGTAGGGAACAAAAAGCTTGAAGTTCCATGTTTTTCCTTACTCTTGTAACAAAATTCAGAAAGTGAGAGGAGGGGAGTATCATTGCACTTACATTAAACCAAATTTAAAATAAACACGCTTATTATGGACTATATAACAAACTGTTGTCTTTTTCATCCAGGACAGTTTTTACAATATTTTCACCAAAATATGAACTATGGTTATTACAAACTAAAATGGGTATTCCATTTGAGTCTGTTACAACCATAGTTTACTGCACATAGCAATGTGCATGCATGTGTGTACTATGTGATGCTTTGTTGTAAGGGCTATCTGGGTCTGGTGACTATTGGTTCATTAGCGAGTTTCATTCTTTAACGAAAGGGAGTAATTTCTGGCGTAGACCCAAAAGCGCCAGAGATTTTGGTCTTCCTTGGTGATCACTCAGCCAAGTATTGAGTGAGTGAGTGAGAATGGTTTTACAGATTCACGCTGTTAGGCTGCTTTCGACTGATTCTAATCCAGAACAATGGGCATTTCTGAAGCAGATACTAACCTTGCTGATCTCATCCACGACCCGCAGCGCATCTCCCGAAACATACAACACTGCTCTCTGGTACTTGCCCTTGCACTGCTGAAAGAAACAGAAATGTAGTCAATATTGACAACAAACAATTTCAAAACTCTGTTTAAGACTTTTCAGATACAGAACATTTCTTCACATTAGTCATGTCAGTAGAATATAATCAATAGTCAGGGGTGGAAATAACTTTAAAATTGATAGTGTACTCCGGTACAGTGGCACATGTAATGTCACTTGCCCTGATAATTTGCCCACTATACCGACCGTTTTCTTGCTGATTTTTTCAATAAACAACATAATTAACATTGGAAAGTCAACTGGACACCGGTACAGTGTGATATATAAATTTGCTTGCCCGACAGAAAAAAACACTGGACTCGGACGTCGGGCAATGGGTTATTTCCACCCCTAATAGTGCACCCAGTAACAACCACAAACATGTGGTCAGTGAGTCAGATGTCATACCACTTACAGCAATATTCCACCAATATCAGTGGGACTCCAGAAATGGGCTTCACATATTGTACCTGGAAATTAAGCCCAGGTCTTCAGTAAAATGAACAAACGGTTCAACCACAAGGCTAGACTACAAACATGTGGACTGAATCTGCACTGACGACGTAATAATAGCAAGCGTCTTCTTGATGGTCACCATCCAACAATGGGACAGGAGTAGCACCCTTTTGACAGCCATTTTGGGAGTCCACACGTCAGGTTCCCTCACCTGGCAAAAGTTGACCCTAAGACCTATCACCCATGTTGTTTGGCATGATAAGCTAGCCTACCCCACCCCTCCTTATTGTACCCGAGGGACAAAAATGCTACAAAACTTGCACAAAATTCTGAAATCAAACAAGAACTTCTTATGATCATCCTCTGGTAGTCATCATTAGCAAAGACCGCCATTATGTAACTTATCAGAAAATAAGAACGTTTTTCTCAAGAATCTAATTTCTTTATGTAATTGACCTATCAAAACCAGAACCAAGAACGAGACTTGAAACGATTCTCTACTTTATATTTGATGAAAACCAAGCAAAACCCCAACATAACAATTTTTGCCAAAGAGACTAAAAAAAGAAAATAATTGCAAATAAAGTAGATTCTCAAAATAACACTGCTATGGGGGTAACGAGATATTCGGAAACATTTTTAGTCAGAACGATCCTCATCAAAGTGCAAACATAAGAATGTTTTTGGTGAATCTTAGCAGTCAGACTGAGTTTTCAGCAAGCAAGTCCAAAATGATTAGGAAATAGAGTATAAGTAGTTAAGTAGATCCCATCAATGCTGGGCCCGTTCCGGTAAACCAGCCATCCAGAGGCCCAGGTGAATCTGATAATCAATAATGTATCTCCATGACCTGGATATCTGTCCCTTGATGACTTGTAAATGACTAGTTAATGACTTGCTAATCTGTGGCCAGTTTTAATCTGTTAATATCAGGACATGGACAATTAGTTCCATCATCTTGAGAGAACTGGCTGCCTATCACGTACAAGGAACTTAGATCTATCTCGCGCGACCACTAGAAGGTACTCCTGCTTAGGTGTCTTCCACATTAGTTATTTTCCACAGCAATTAGCAATGTACCAGCAATATCATGGCAATGAATACACAAGGCCATTTAAAAAAGTGGTTAAATATGATATATGTTCTATCTGGGATTACACTTTCTCATTACAATAAAGATTCTAGGACTTATGAGTACCATCTGGGACTTAAACCCTCACTTTCAGTCAGGCATCTAACCCACTCAGCTGTCATATATCAACTTAAAACTAATTGGTTGACTCGTGTCATAGTATCCCAATTGCATAGAACGGTGTTCATGATGTTGTTCACTGGATTGTCTGTAAATTACTTACAGACCGCAGCCATATAGCTGGAATATTGCTGAGTGCGGCATTAAACAACCAACCAACCACATAACTAAACCTAAACTGGTTACCAGTGGTTGATATAATGAGCAACACAGTATCACATCAGGGAAGTGATTACCTCCCCTCACAGTCATACTTCTCCAGGAGTGCTGAGGGCGAATTCTAGCATGTTCTTAAAGGACAACTAAAATTAAAACCAATTTTCCCAGGTCTTTCTTAACGTCATTCAGAGTCAGTAGTCCTGTGTCCTATCTGAAGGGGCGGTGGGGAAGCCTAGTGGTTAAAGAGTTGGCTCGTCACGCTGAAGACCCGGTTCGATTCCCCACATGAGTACAATGTGTGAAGCCCATTTCTGGTGTCCCCCGCCCTGATATAGCCGAAATACTACAAAAAGCGGTGTAAAACTTAACTCATTCCTTTCTGAATTGGTATTCCAAGGTTGTATCTGAACCAGCCGTCCAAGGTCACATCTGAATAAACGGTCTGAGGTCATATCCTACTTTTGACAAAAGCTGCCACACAATCACAGTATAGCTACCTGCTTATCTTTCCACCCTTCAGAAAAGCTAACCAGCATCCACAATGCATGTACTTCAAATCCCGAGATTGAGTAATAGTTGCGTTATCATACAGGCAATATGCAAGGTCTTCCAGCCAGACAATGCTGGATCAGATTGCTGTCAAGAATCAGCTTATTTTGACATTTGATGCAGCCAGGCTGAATATTGCGTGGCCACAAAGCCACCAATTTCCATGTTGTCACAGAAGAGTGTTGTGAGATCTACCATCAATATGCAGAAAGGGGTTTACTTAAAGGTTGCCACCTAATGCATGGATTCGGTCAGAAAGGGGTTTACTTAAAGGTTGCCACCTAATGCATGGATCTGTGTGTTGTCTACAGAGAAGCAGAATCACACAAAGAAAAAACAGTTGAAAGTAAATGAGTGAATGTTACTTTGTTTTGTCAGCAATATTCCAGCTATATATGTCTGTTTATAAAGTCTGGGCCAGGCAGACCAGGTGTCAACAGGATGCCGAATGATGCATGTCAGCAGTGAACGACTAGGACCTAAAGTCATTTCAGCTTGACCTCAGCAGTGAGTAAGTGAGTGAGTTTATCTTTATGCTGCACTCAGCAATATTCCAACTATATGACGGTGGTCTGTAAATAATCGAGGCTGGACCAGACAATCCAGTGATCAACAGCATGAGCATCGATCTACACAATTGGGATACGATGACACCAGTCAACGAAGTCAGTGAGCCTGACCACCCGATCCCGTTAGTTGCCTCTTACGACAAGCAATACTTGCGACTAATTTGGGACTTGAACTCATAACTAACAGAAGCATAATGTGTTTGAATTCCCAGTGCAGAGTTGTATCCCTTACTAGAATCCTGCAACCATTAAGCCTGATTTGAGACTCATACAACTAACAGACTCTGACAGTATTCCAGTTACTATAGTCTGTTTGCTGTGAAAACGTACCGATGAATGTCACTTTAAACCAAAAGGTAAAACAAATAAAGTGAAATTAAGACTGCGAATCCTCATGATTTTACCTTGCCAATTGAACATTAAATGTCAAAATTTTATTTGACTTGGGATAAAAGTTGTTTAACAAACGATCATAGTTTCACATGGCTATTATTGGTTTGTATTACAAGGGGGGTATGCACATCAAATGAAACACCGAAAACGACAAGGGTTGTTATAAGTTAACGCTCTTCATGTACCCCAAGTGCATTTGTTTCACTGTTCCAACTACTGCGCTTATCCCATTGTAATACAAACCAGTAATAGCGATTTGAATCTATGATCGTTTGTTAAACAACTTCAATCCTAATTTGAATAAAAATTTGAGATTTAAATGTTCAATTGGCAAGGTAAAATTATGAGGATTCGCAATCTTAATTTCACTTTATTTGATTTACTTTTTTGTTTACAGTGAAATTCATCGGTACGTGTTCACTGTAAATAGACGATAGCAACAATGATGAACTGTTTGTTGTTTGACTTCTTTGAGTGGCATGTTAGAAGTTGGAAGTCAGATAGAACAAGTATATATGGATGACAACTTCTTTTATTCTAGAGCACGACATTTCGATACAGGTTCTTGTATCGTTTTCTATCTATCTATCTATCTATCTGTTTGTTGTTTGATGCCACTGTCAGCAATGCTACAGTTATGTCCCCTCAACCTGCAAATACCATCTGGACCTAAACCACTGAATGTACAATGATGATCTTACCACACTACTCACTATGCTTGGCCACCATCATTTTGTTGCCTCATACAAGCATAAGTAGCAGGTACCTAGTCTAACCTGCAATCCCCACCAAGTCTTTGCACTGCGATGCACTGAGTCACACAGGGAACAATCTAGATTTAAACAGCACCTCATCTTCATTCATCAGTAACTGATGCACCTGACCCCATTCGCCCATGAAAGGATCCTATCTATCCAAAATGGAGTTTCCAAATAGCATAAAACCATACAGAAATAATTAGAAAAACTGAAATTATCCCTTCCTGTACAGCTCTGGTCGATGTTTACGAAAAAGCAACTCAAGAATGCCGTTTTTTGCCATTTGTTTGTTAATGGTTGTCATTGATGGCTTACTTTTCAGTTTAACAGATGAGGAAAGAGCATGTTCCCACACATTCCCTTGTCATCAGATCCAGCATGGTGAAGGTACCTCCAGCCTTCCCGTCTAGGTATGTCAGACTACCCCATGATTAAAGAGAGCACCAGAAGCTAGAAGTCCTTGCTTTATCAGGCAAAACAGGTTAGTCCTGTAATGGCCGGTCTTGCCAATGTCGTATGACCACCTTGAACAAGGCAGACGGAACGAGATTGTACAGTGTTGTATTTTGGGGAAATCAAAGAAGCCTGCAGTGGGTAATTAGCTCCGTGGCATGTCCTGCAAGATCTGAGCCGTACTACAATTACAAGTCATTGGTAAAAAGTAATTGCTTTGTGGAGCAGTAGCACAGAAGCTCATGGGTTTACTGATCTATGCTATTTGGGTACAACGTGATAATAATTGATGTTGTTTGACACCTCAACCAGCAATATATCTCCATCACTGTGAACCTGTCAATAATATGGTCTGAACCAGATGAACCTGTGGTTCAAGCAGACAGCTTCCACACCTTTGGGTAT